AAAGAAAACTAATAAAAGCTCTGTCAGGAGCTTTAAGCTCAAATCTAGATCAAAACCAATGTGCCTTTTGAAAAAATTTAAAATACTTGTAATTATAGATTGATTGCATTCAAAAATGCTAAAAATAATGTTTGACAATTTAAAAAAATTAGCTAAAGAATTATGTAATAGTTTTATCACGTCTTTCAAGCTCAAATATAGTTCAAAGCCAATATAAATATAGAGTAAAAAACAAATTGCAGAGGAGCCTGGGTTGGTTGTGCCTCAGACCCTATCTCAAAATCAATATATAGTTATGACTACTGTCACAATCATACCCAGTCTCCCCTATATCGAACGGTGATTTGATAACAAGTTCAATTAATGGCTTCAACGATGCAAATGATTTGATTATTTATACATAGAATAGTACCTACCATTATCAATTATATAATGTACCATTTAACAGCATAGCAAACATTTTCTTATAAGTTTCCAATGCCGTCGAACATCACATAAAAATAAAATCCAATCAAATTAACTCGACCGGACGAATTACAATCCTATCAATAGAATAATTGACCAGATAAAATTGTTCATGTTTGAATTTCACTATTTAGTTAAACTAGTGTATAGAATTCTATGGTGACACGGTTGAATTAGGATGTGCCTTCGACTTTAGTGCGTGGGAAAACTAATAAACTGAAACCAGATTAATCTATTATGTGCGTAATGTATTCAAATTTCTGTAAAAGATTAGAATAGAAAATTTGCAAAACTTATGTAACACTGGCACGATTAATTTACACAACGATGCTTGTAACAAAATTGGCGAATTTAAGGCAGACTGAGTTTATTATAACCTTTTACAACTGATTCATTAATTTATCGATAGATTAAGCTGTTTGTTTATAGATAGAGCAGTTCATAAATAAATAGATATTTTTTACAATTATCAGGAATTGTTAGTATTAACAACATAGATCATAACAGTTTACTTTACATCATAGGACTCAATCATTTGATTTACTTTATGTTCACTAATCTTGGTAGTTTAGATAGAAATTCATCATCAATAAATATAATATAAAGCATATGCATTATGTATATAAATAATATTGGCTATTAGAATTAATAGAAGTGGTAACATTGAAAATCGTAATTTAGAAAAACTTGGTTATTTTTTTATCAAGTTTTCTGCTTGAAGACTTTTTTTCGTAATGTACTTTAGGATGGTACAATTATTTTAAAAAAATTGCACAATTTAATATTAAATAACATTGGCACGTTTAATTTACACAACCAAGTTTATGTAAATAGGCATATGTAAAAAAGAAAATTGAATTATAACCTCTAATAATCAATTAAACTATTAATATATTATTAATATTGAACTATTTGTCCACAGATAAAGCAGTTCATAGAAAATAGATATAGTTTTACAATAATCAATCATTGCTAGTGGTAGAAAATACACATTAATTTACTTTACTTTAAATTCACATTAATTTACTTTACTTTTTTTCCTTAAACAGTTATTATTAAATTCATTATATATAACAGTACAATAAACTTTATAAAAGCAATACAAAGCATTTGATATCGAAGTAAGAGAAGTCATTAAGATCAATATTGCAATTCATAATTTGGAAAAGCTTGGTAGTTTTTTTTTCCAAAATAAGCATTGTGTCTTCATGCTACTCTATGATAATAAGATTTAGCCAATGGACACGTAAATTTTTTTAAAACTTTTTGCAATATTGTTTTGTGATTTGTTATATTTTTATTTGGTTATCAAGTAGCAAGTTTGATAAATAAATTAGTAAGAATATAATAGCTTCAGGAAATGATTAGAAAATAGCTTGTGATTTTTTATTCTTTTTAATGTATATCGTGCTCATTTGCTAGAAAATCATGTCAGACTAAATGCATGAGGCCGATGCATTTACCCGATTTATGTCAAAGCAACAATAGCTATTTAATCTAAAGACGGTTATTCCTCCAAGTGAAATAGATCGAAATAACTCTCTGGAAAATTGTTTCTATACGGATATAGAAACTCTCTTCTTTAGATGACATATTAGAGAAAAGAAAAAATAGTTTAATTCCGATGGTACCAAAATAAAATTTTACTAACGATAAGTACAGGTGGGCCATTTAAAGTGGAATTTCCTGGAAACAAAATAAATTATAATCTAAAATAAAACATAATGTTTATATATTTTAACTTTAACCAGTCATCGAACAGTGTGCACAGTTTTGTGTTTAGAAAATATATAATATTATGGAAAAAGTTATAAAATTTATTATTTATGGTGATAGACTTGAAATCAAAGAACCAAGTAGACTGTGAGAGGCCAGTTCTTGAAAATATTCAAAAGCTCTTTACATCAAATTGTCAAATTATACATTAAATATTTTATCTATAGAAGTGAATGCCTTCTCAACAATAAAACTTATTTCGTTATGATTCAATCCAATTATTTCAAAAATGCGGAAACTTCTTAGCTGTTTCCTTTGTCTAATTATAACTTCCTCGATCACGACTATCGCCGATCTCCACTTTCGTTTTTTATTATAAAAGAACATACCGCTACATTTGTTATAAATTACTTGAATTAAAGTTATATAACAAACTTAGTTGTCACATGTGTGGTAATGCTTTGAAATATATAATAATTTTAATGAAATCTTTGCTGCTCGTCAGCTAAATTTAAGCAATAATAACATTTGTCAAGTGTTGAGTAACTCAAATAATACTGGTAATGGAAACACACAGTATGGTTGAAATGAAACTGCATTTGAAATTTAGAATTAGATTCTGGCAAATAATATAGTTAAATATTTAAAATATTTATATTAAATAATAACAATTGAGATTAGCAACTTTAAAAATTGTGACGTATATTTTGAAATTTTAATGCAACTGATTATTCTAAACTTTGTTAAATTTCTTCAATTAAACCCCTTTTTGTAAGCATATAACATTTTACAATGTTCGCTAAAATCATGAAGTCTACCTATCATCATACAAAGTCTCATCAAAATCGTCAAAAATGTTTCAACAACCAATTACTATAAAACTACTAATCAGAACGATTGGTAACTGATATGATAATTTTGGAATTTTCGAAATTGGTTTAGATTTTTCTAATATTGAAAAAGTTTTGCACTTACCTACTAATTGCAGAAAAATTGCTCGGTTGATCGCCTCCCAAAAGCAAATCAAATCTGTCAATTAGCATATCATCAAACAAATTCGAATCCTTAAATTGTACAACTGCATTGTGAAGAACAAGATATTCAAAAAGACCTAAAAAGATTTTTGAGGTTCATATACTGATTAAAAAATGGATTCAATCAATGTAATTGCACTTACTTATTGATCTATTTCGTTCATTGAAGCAAACCCTATTACAATAAGTTTTCTCTTCATTTGAATCCTCCATTCATCGTACTTCTTCTTCAAAAAGAATTAACTGAAGACAATAACAAAGGAGGGGAGAACCCATGGTCTACACGACCATGCGCATCCTTGCATGACATCCCGACGCTCGACCATCAGGAGCACTCCAGCCAGAACAGTCTAACACTGAAAACCACTCTCAAAACATCACAAAATCATTAAAAAACCCAAAAATTATAATCAGATTTCCCAGATGTGAAGTGACGTATTAAACATACAATTATTAATTTAGTATTATTGGAGATTTAAATTATTTAAAGTGACGCAAACTAGAACCGCCTTTACGGATCATAAACTGTGTGAAACTAATACTTGCTGTTTACTTTTTATGGATATTAAATATCTGTGCTTATACGGTAAGTGATGTTCAGCCTTGGTCTAATTTGTTTTATGACTCCTCAATGAAATTTGAAAGCTCAGGAAATAGGTGAACATGTTAAAGAGACTTCCTTTCCGTTGCACCATAATGAAACGCGCTCTTCTTATGACAAATACTAACGGACTATGTTTTGATTCTGAATAAATTATTTGGATTACTATATTTATGTCCTTTGATAGTTTTGATGGTTGTCTAAATTGAAAGTCTAATATGTATATGATATGAACATATTAAAATTTTTGAACGTATTTTCTCCAAATATTTTCTGTTCTTCAAATCATTATTTACTTTATCCTGACAATCAGTGCCATGGTTCCTGCTTTATTTTATAGGAAACAGTGAACATTATTTATCTTATATTTTTTTAGTATTATGTTCAAAATTGTATTGTATATTGTGCAATATTGCTAATACTTTTTTAAAAATTTATTGATTTCTTCATAAATTTAAAACTGAAATTATAAATACACATTCAAATATCAAATTTTAGATTAATTTGTATATCAAAATTGATCAGAAATCCTTATTCAAAGTATTATATTAGTTTTATACGCCCATCAACGAGTAAACCTGCTAATACATTCAATTATTATATCCTGCTATTAGCATAAAGTTTACAAGAATGTTATATTAAGTTTCTCATCGTTGATCAGGAATATTTTAGATTGAAATTTCCTTCGCCAAAACAAGTTTTATAACGTATAAACCACCAATTGAAATTTCCCTAATTATTCATGCATAGGTAACATTTCAATAAAAAATTAACGTTGCGATATCGCGAATCCATTCTTTCCATTGATTTGTTCAAAAGTTGGACTTTCTCCGGCGTGTACAATTAATTTATTCATTGAAACATCATATTCCGTGTCTTATGTTATTGTTTCTATATAAATTATTTGGCAGCATAACTAAATATTACGTTCACAAAATGGAAAGCGATTTTACATATTATTTCATGCAGAAATGCGTTGAGGCATTGCACACTCTGATGTAATTGTGAGATATGGTAATTTGTAAGTAATTCAACTGATTAATTACGATGTGATTCAGTGCACGTTAAATTAATTTTAAATCAGACAATAATTGGTTTAATTACAAGGAGTATATGTAGATATTTCAATCATTCCAAACTCATTAGAAATTGTGAGATGTTTAAAAAATACCTCTGATTGGCACATGCTACTTGCAAAAAATGTAAATTTTAAATAAGAAATATCAATTATAATGTTAGTGTGAAATACTCTAAACAGATTTGATTCAATATCTATAATTATCATCTTAAGTCTTGAATAAGAACTTGCGAATAATTTAGTCATAATACTGATTCAAATGTGACTGTGTGCAATAATGACATAATTTTTATATTTAATTAGCTTGTGGATATTTTAAATAATTGAATTTTCAGAATGTTGCAAATATTGGTCTGGACATGTCAAACATTTTATTATTAAAATTAATGAACAATAAAATATTACTGGCACATAAAAATTAAGCCTGGTTCATGTATGAAAAATAATTTTAAATTTTCAACGGATAAATCAAATCAAGCAAATTATATTATGGGCATTAAATAAACTAAATATAAAATTAAATAGACGCACATATTATTCACATATCGACAATACTTTAAAATTATTCACGTGTATGTAAAACGATAGAGTAGCGTACAGTAGGTCATACCATAAATAAGATGGTACCATAAATAAATTTAGAACTGAAGTTAAATTTTGCAAAGATCCCAATTGCATGTTATTTTTCTCTTGTTAGAATATATTGATTAAATAAATATATTATTTTACTGCCAGTATGAAAAACTATATAATTATTTTTATTGTGGCATATGTGATTCTATAATAATAATCCCTAGAATGTTTAAGGTATTTAAAATAAGTTGTTAAAATTTAAGTGGTCTACAATTGTGATTTGGAATATGAATCATCAATTATAAATAACATAAACTTTAAAATTGTATATGTCGTTCGTAAACGAGAATCGAGTTAATGATCAAAATTTCCAATAAATATATTACATTCACGATTATTTGACTTGGTGATAAATTACATGTATATTATATTTCTCATAAATCAAAGATTTATTTATATTGAAAAATTACATAAAATAATTTTATTAGAAAACAAGTATATGTAATATATGAAAAAGTTCGACAGATTATATATTTTTAGAAAAATATAAATATTATTTTTAACTGAATTAACATAATAATTTCATACATAATAATAAGAAGTGAATTAAACGTGATACAAATACTCAGTCTTTAAGGAGTGATTTATTACTTCGAATAGGTATATAATAATATGATAATTCAAATGTATATTGTTTGATCACAGAAAGTTAAAAAAGTTCGAAGACTTTTTAGTTCGAAAACATTTATCACCTACGAAATTTTTATACCTCAAACTAATAAATGTCTATGTTTAAATCGTTCGATGCACACGATTAACTCATAAAACAGTTCAAATATCGCAATCAGTGATCATTTACCGAGTTGTAGAAGCTTTGTCACCAAAAGACACGCTTCGAAAACCCAACAATACGGCAATTCATATTATATTGTGTACCTTTGGAAGCAATACTTCTTGTACCTAGCATCACAGTTATAATATTTAGTTCCAGCTGGATCTCCTAACGTTCATCTAACGTTCTGCTCGGCTCATGATACAATTTCACATTGTTAAACTAGAACAGAAGCAGAAGTTAAATTGTTCTTTTGATGAGGAATTGGTTGGCTAAAGGAATAGCTTTTTTTAATTTTTGTTTTAAGAAAAATGTTTCTTCACTTGTGGTATTCGTTTGTTCCAAACTTTCTTGGTCTAAACAACTGCAACATATTTTTTGTAAAAAAATTGGGTTACTTAAAACTCTGTTGTGCAAATTTGCATGAACATAATATGTAATTCAGCACAAACTAATCTCGGGTTCGATACCAACGTCGGCCAAGTTCAATATAAGGTAGCATGATATAAAATTTTCATCCAAGTAAAAACCTTTCGTGGGCATCACGAGCAAGTCAGCAGTGTTAGATACACACATCTAATAATAACAAGTAATAGCAAAGAAGAAAGAATAACGACTGGGTTGCATTTTCGAAGAAAAACAATGAGGAACTTGAAAAATAATTCATAATAATAATAAGATCATTAACATAATAATAATAAGAAACTTTAACATAATAATATTCTTTTGCCACATTTTATGCTTGATACTTCAACATAATAATAATAATTTTATGTCACATTTAATTTATAAAAGTTGCTTTTATGAAGTATACTTTACTCATACTGTATTTCATTAAGTTTTGTTATAAAAGTTATCAAACGTAACAAATCCGTAGGTTTTTTGTTGAGGTATAAATACCAAAATTGCAAAAGTATTAGCCCTATACTCGTTCGTAATCAGCTTCATGGTTTAAGATAAACAAGTTCTAATCCCACCAATTAAATCATAAATATTAAATAAGCAAAGTTTCCACCGGATGAAATAGAATCAAACAATAGCTTTGTAGGATAATATAAAGACGCAGATTTGTCGATTTCTCAATCCAATCAGCAAAATACAGAAATACAATCAACACATTGTTATCATGTCGGTTTTCTTTAGACGTATCGCTAACATGAGTAAAGCATCGCTTCTTTGTTAGTTTTTCGGATGTTTTCACAAACCGCTTAAAAAAACAAACTAGCGATTTTATTGTGGCCGACGGAGGATGTTATGCAAAGGCTAGAAGAAACTCTTTGTTAACGATGATATCCACGCAAACGGGCCGGCGGCGAACAATCGCTATTAAGAAATCGAATTAAAAAATAAAGCGGCGCCTGGAATCGCGTATTTTGTTATGTATTTACTGTTTACACTTATGATAAGCATATATGTAGTAGAGGGGCTTAGCAAACACGAAACGGGCAAATTTTATTTCGATTCGTTCGGCTGCACAATTTTCTCATTTTGCGTAATTTTAAATTCTACTTGATTATAAACCATGCCCGGATGTAAGACATGTCAAATTCATTACTAGATAGTATATGTAACTAGATTTTTGATGAATCTGTATGTGAAAATGATTTATTAAAAATTGTCACTATGGTTATAGCACTAAAATCGCTTGTCTGTCTGAACTACATAAACATAATGTAATAATTAAAGATGCACATCATAATAAAATTACATTATTGCTTTGACGGTTTGTCAATTTATTTCCTTTCTATAATAGTTTTTATATTTGTAGATTAAACCGTGATAATTTAAAACAAGTGCCGTGAACGTTTTGCAAACGAATGACTAAAATCGAAGCGTTCACAAAAATAGTAAAACCGGCAGAAGTAATTCTCAGATTCAGAATGACATGAAAAACGATGGCGAGAACGCGGTGGCTTCAAACAGCTGATATTCTAATATCATTAGTTATCCTTAACTGGATATCTGTTGATTTTGCATCCTCGGAAACTGCTTGTCCAAAGCCTGAAATTATTGCACCATGTCGATGCTCGCAACGTGCTGATGAAGTACAATTATGGTAATATAAAATGCATAACCTTTTATAGTAAGCATTGAATCAACTAACCTTTATTTTCCAGGTGCAGTCACAGCGAATTGCCACATGTGATGGCAGGCCTGCGTGCTGCAAGCACCAGCATGACTCGGCCCATCGATGAATTAATTTTAGAAAATAATAATTTGCCATCGCTCCCTGGAAGAGCCTTGTTTACTTTGAGAATAATGCGCCTCATGCTTCGCAACAATGGCTTGCAGCGTGTTTCGAGCGGTTGGCTTGTTGGCCTGGAAGAATCTCTTATGGAATTGTATATAGTAGAAGATGAACTCAGAAGCCTTCCTATGGATAGCTTAGATAAACTCAGAAAATTAGAAGCTGTGACGATTCAAAGCAAGTCGATCAAACGAATACCAAGCTTCACGGGTTTGTCCAAACTAAGATATCTGCACATAGAATCTTCATCGCTCATGGAACTTAACCCACGATATTTCCGCATGTTGCCTGCTTTAGAAAATTTACATGTCATGGGCAGCAGCAGGTTAAATAGATTAGAAGCAGGATTTTTAGAAGATTTACCAAATATATCCAATGTTAACATATCTAATAACGGTATAAACTGGATTCATTTGCGAGCTTTCTCAAGAGTACCTTCACTGCAGCAATTGTCTTTATCGGGAAATAAAATATCTGATGCTAGCATGGTAGGAAGAGCTGTAAGAGATTTGCCATCACTTACAAGTATTCACTTAGAGAATAATCATATTGCAAAGTTATCAGAAGCATCTTTCGTAGATTTACCAGCTGTGAAAGAAATATGTTTGGCTAGAAATAGAATAGTAGAAGTTAGCCAAGGTGCTTTTCACAGAGTTCCAATGCTTAGATCATTGGATCTTAATTACAACTATATTCGAAAATTTCATCCAGAATCTTTTTTGTTGCCTTCAGGTAGCGGAGTAGAAGAATTATATTTAATCGGTAATGAAATAGATAACGCAAATGAATTACGTGCTTTATTTAATGCATTTCCGCGACTGCGTTTTCTGGATTTGAGTCATAATCGCTTACAAGAAATTCCATTTGGTGTATTAAGAGGCCATCTAACTTTAGAGCGACTGCATCTAAATGACAATAGATTGCAACTCATTGAAAGAGAAGCCTTAACCTCAATGCCAGCACTCAGAGAACTAAGGCTTCAAAATAACTCATTGTCAAACATACTACCTTCACCTTTTTGGAATTTACCTGCTCTAAAAGGTTTAGATTTGTCGTTTAATTTTTTTCGAAGGATTGAACCACGACTCCTTGCAAACTTGCCATCTCTCCGAAAATTAAACATGCAAGATAATGACCTAAATGCTATTGATCCGATGTCGTTTCTAGAAACTCGACAATTAGAATCTATTAATATATCTAATAATGCATTAGTTTCTTTTCATCCATCTACTTTCAGGCATCTGGATGGTTTATTCGAACTTGATGTAAGCTTTAACAAGCTTACCGACTTTGTGCCAGGACTTCCACGTGGTCTAGAATCTCTTCATTTATTTCAAAATCAAATCGTTGCAATACCTTTGCCCAGCTCGTTAGATCTAGATTTGCCGGCTTTGAGATCATTAGATATTAGTGGAAATGAGATTCAATATTTAACAAGCGGTGCCATGCGTGCCCTGAACCAATTACGAAGATTACAAATGTCCAGAAATAAAATTAAACAAATCGAAGACGATTCATTTGACGGCGCAACAAAATTGGAATATTTGGATTTAAGTTATAATGAAATTGAATATTTAGCAGAAAACAGCTTACGTTATATGAGCTATTTAAAATCACTTGATGTGAGTAATAATAAAATTGAAATTTTACGCGGAGGATTATTATTAGATGCCAGGCGCCTCACCAATTTAGACCTGAGTAACAATAAATTGGTAGAAATTCCATCCGCAGTGTTACAAAATCTTCGAGAATTAGTAAATTTAGATATATCTGTGAACATGCTAACAAAACTACCTGAAACAGTGATTGGATTAAGAGCTCTAGAAATACTCGATGTTAGCGAGAATCGCCTAACAACTCTACCGAATGATTTGCGGCCTCTGGCATCGCTTAGCGACTTAAATTTGGCAGGAAATCGAATAACGATACTCAAACAAGGGTCGGTTCAATATTTGCCCCAACTGAAAGAGCTGAATCTGTCAGATAATGAAATAGACATCTTAGAGCCGGGATCAATAAGGTCACTACCATTATTATCGCAAATTTTACTTGCTCGAAATAAAATAAGAGAACTTAGAGATGCAGTGTTTTCAGATTTACCATCATTACAAAGCGCTGAACTGCAACAAAATAGACTTAGGACCATATCAAATAGAGCGTTTTATAGAGTTCCTCGAATGTTAATGTTAAATTTAAGTCAAAATCTCATAGATGATCTAGACCATGCTGGACTGCGAACATTAAGATCATTAGAGGTACTAGATCTGAGTTACAACAAGATATCTAGAATTCAAAGTACTAGCCTTCACGACTTAGAATGGCTGGTTGAATTGAACATGGATAATAATATCATTTGCAACGTTCATGGAGCACCATTTAGTGGAATGCCACGATTACGTTTACTCAGTTTACGTAATAATAAAATGACAAGTTTGTCAGAATCATCCGTTCAAGCTTTACGAAGCAACATAGCCTTGCTCGACATCGATGGTAAGGTATATTGCAATATTATACCTGTAAATGAATTGTTAATTATTTTTAATCATTTCAGGTAATCCTTTAACATGTTCCTGTGGTTTATTATGGATGCAAGCATGGATGCAAGAGGCACATTGGGCTGGTCCGCATTGCTTTGACGGAACCATGTTGAGAGATGCCCGTATTTCACGGCAACATTGTTTAAATAATCCAGCTCGTGAAACTGAACCCATAATTCCGGGCTGCGAATCAGAACTCCTAGACGATCGTTTACCTAATCAAGGCGCCAGCCCATGGCTTGAAAAAATCAAGCAATCATCCAATCCAAACGACATCGATCGTCCATCTCCCGAAGAATCAGAATATTTTTATGATGAATATGTCGATTATCCTTTTAATGAAACTAGCACAAGTAAAAGCAATAGTACCCTACACAAAAATACTACTTATGCAATTACAACTTCGCGTCCTAACACTGGCAATACGCCTTCGTTTTATGCAAGCACGAATATGAAAAAAAATCTTTCATCTACTGTCAAACCAACGCAACCGCCTAATGTTCCATCAGCTACTTTCACATTTTTTGGTGTTCCTTTGCCTAGTTTAAACATTAATAAACTATGGGGTTCCGGAAGAACTAGTATGGATCGTAAAAGTGATCAAACATCTCACATAGGCAGTTCACGAGGAACAGGCAGGATACAAAATTATCCAGTTGATGCACCACAAGTACAAACCGGTGGATTCATTCCTATAATATCTGGAACAACTGGTGGATTTCATCCAGTGAACGATGCTTTTGGGGAACCATTTCAAAATACAACAACATCATGGCCAGAAGACTTTCCGTCCAACAAATTTAATGTGAAAAGAACACAAATAGAAAATGAAACAGAAAATACCACAGAATTTAATGCTTTGCAACAAATACCAACATTGTTTACTGCCTTTGAGAAATCCACTCATCCAATGACGGCATCAAGTTTCGATAACATAACTGCTGAAATACCAATGTCTGAGAATAATGATTTCAAACAATTGACCAGTTTTTATACAACCATTGATGATACTGAGGATATTGAAATTACAACAGTTCCATACAGTCAAAATAATTTTCAAATTACTGAACAAACAAGCATCTTAGAACAGATTCAAGCTGAAGAGAATAATTATTTCAATAGAACAAGCCCTAACCCAAACATTTCAACAGAAGAAACAAATTTCCACAGTAACCAAAATTATGAAGATATAATTCAAACATTTGAAAAAAATAATTTTGATAATAATGAATATTTTAATAACACTAATATATTTAAAGAGTATTATTCAGAAATCTCAAACTTACAAGAAACTACGACTTATGTTCCCCTGCACAACGTATCAGATTTTTTGCCAACAACAAAGAATGTTCCTAATACAAACATGACAAACAATATATTAGAATACAATAAAAGTACAGAAGTTCTGAATAATAAGAAAATAAATACTGAATTTTGGACACAAACAACTAAAAATCCAGGTTTATTATCAGATATACTGGCTCCAAATGGGAATATGCCATTTTACAAACCTTCTGGTAGACCTACTATTACAAAAGTTGTATTTGCTGATCAAAGTTTGACTAATGAAGAATTTGTGGACTCTCCAAGTTCAGTTGAAATCGAAACAATAGCAAGTTATGAACTAACTACAGTAAAAACCATCTATAATGACTCATCAATGAATTGGTATTTTGACAACTATAATAAAACTAATCACATCAATATGGTAACACAAATGGAACCAGGATTAAATCATTATAGAAGTAATGCAAATTACTATAGCCCGAATTTTTATGAAACAAAAGTTGTTCTTCTAATTATTAACATATTGTATTATAAAATGATGTCTTGAAGTTTTGCTGCCAATTTTCATATTAATATAAACACACATCCTAGAAATAATTGCAAAATCTATTCTTCCTATATACTTGAATATTACTCACAATAAAATAAAATTAATAACCCAAGGATTGATACTTCTATAATAATCAAAGTAGGATTATTGATATTATTCTGATACTTTGATAAAAAAGTCCCCGTTTAAACAACTTCTATTAAACTAAATTGTTTCTCAAGATATATATATATATATATATATATATAATATATCAAATTTCTAAATTATATAACAAATTAGGGTTGAATCAATGTATATAATAAAAAATGAAAAGAATAATATTATAAAATATACAATTGAAACTGTATACATATGTATACAGAGTATGTAAATATTTACTACATGTATGTAGATATTTCCATACTCTGTATAGTATTTTCGAGTTAGAAACGAAAAACTTTCATATACTTAAATAAATATAAAAAAAGTCTATGAAAGTCACATGCAAGTATGTTTCCTACAACAAAAATTAAAGATTTTTTTATATAAAAGTAACATTATATTTGTTGTTTTATATATAATAGTTTATATGTTACCAAAGAATGAAAATCTGAATTTTTTAAATAAAGTTTACAGATTATGAAGGAAATACAAAAGGCATGTTTTACTTATCAAATCACTTTTTCTTATCATCTTTGCCAACCTTAACTTCTTGTTTCTTATCCTTATCTTCCTTTGTTTCTTTCTTTTCTTTCAATTCCTCTTTTTTGCCTTCTTCAGCATCTCGGTTGGTAAGTTTATTGTTGATTAAATTATGAAGTGCAATAATAGATCTCACCAAAGCAGCTAAATATACCACCAGCATTTGATCATTGGTCTTTACATACAATGAATCAACGAAATGGTCTTGGCTAATATCAGGAAGCAAATTAAAAATATCTTGAAGCTGGTAAACTATTTGATGATTTACAGGTAATTTACCATCCCCAACTTGAACTAGATAATCCCTAATTTCTCTAATCTGAGAGTGAAGGCCTTTCAATCCTAGGAAAGGATATGAATGGATTAGTTATGAAATTTAATTAGCAGTGTTAACACTGTTTAATCACATTGCATCTTGTAAATAAATTTAAAAGTATTGGTAAGAAATGTTTCAAATATTAATTTACATTAAAGTATTGTACATATTGTACAAAATTATTGTAAAAAAAATTAAAAAAGAAAATTAATAAATATACATTATAAAATTATGTAGTTTGAAAGTGCCAAAATATCTGTAAAAATGCAGCTTACATACATGATTTTGTTTTACTATTTCTTTCTAAATATTAAATCAGAAATTTGAAAATGCTAAAATTGAAAGGGTAATTAATAAATATAATTTAATAAACCGTTCAAACCTAATAATTGATTTGTTATCCTCTGTGATAAACTTCCAAAAGTGGTGTCTTTAATATCCCTTAACAAATGTTCCACACCAACTTCTTCAGCTTCTTCAGCACCTATTTCACTTGGAACATGTTCAAAAGTTTTTGATGTGGGAGATCCATCATCATGAACTTCTTCCACAGCTTGATATGCTTCAGTAGGTAAACCTAGATCTTTAGGTTTAGCATCGATAATAACGAGAACAGAATTAGAGCAATAACGACGGATCAGCTCATTAATAGCAACATCATTTTGATGAAGTTTAGGGCCAGTGTGATACCACCCAACAACACGCTCCCTGGCATTTACTTTCTTAAACATTCCATACATATTTTCTAAATAGTCATGATCCAGAAACCAGACTGATCTATCTTTTTCATCTTCATCAAAGGGTACTAAAAAAAATTGTATAAAAGCTTAGTGAAAGAATCAAGTAGACAAAGATAAATTTATGATTGTATACCTGCAAAACTATTCGATACATCCAGAACACCTTTCGCACGCCAACAACCCAATAATACACCGACAACCCGTTTCTGGTTTCCTATTTTGCCCATACGATTAAAATGATCAACCACACTTAATAAAACGAGTGGATGAACCACAACTTTACTAATAGACACATCCTGAGTCGGCATTTTTAAGCACTTTGTATTAATTCTTTATATTAAGATACTAGTTCGAAAATGATTCTCAAAAATTTGACTGTCAATTGTCATGTCAGATTTACCAACATTCAAAGATGCCATATATTTTCAAATCAATTTTCCTTATCTATGTTTCAAATGTTCTGAAAAAATATAAAAATATAAATATTTTTTTTTATAAATAATAATTGATTATAAGATGCAAAATGTATCAAACTTCGATAACGAAAAATGTTTTAAACCTAGGATTTAATTTAAAGCTCATGCTTGAAACAAACTTTTAGTCATTTTTTGACAATAACATTGTGCAACTTCATACTATTTATCTCATGATTCATGTTTTCTTAAAAGTCAAATTGATAAATTTATATAATTTGATAGTTTAATTAATACTCTTAACCATTATTATATTGTCTAAGCTCTTAACGTTAAATAATTATAAATAAAAGCAGAATGTCGCAATTCGCATCACCTCTTCCAAGCCGAGAATTTTTGTGGGATGTTTTTCAAAGGTAATTCTTGTGAAAAACACGTCGCATTAATACAAAAAATGCATCATTAGTATTATATAAATATATATTATATAAATTATATCATTTTATTAGGGTAGACAAAGATCGAAGTGGCTATATATCGGCTGATGAATTACAAGTTGCTCTTTCAAATGGCACTTGGAATCCATTTAATCCAGAAACTGTGAGGCTCATGATAGGTGAATGCAACTATTACATCCTTCTATATTTTATAATGAAAGTCCGTTTTGATTTATACATGAAATTCTTTTTTGTTAGGCATGTTTGATAAACGAAACAGTGGAACAGTAAGCTTTGAAGATTTTGGAGCTCTATGGAAATATGTTACTGATTGGCAAAATTGCTTCAGATCTTTTGATACTGATGGTTCAGGAAATATTGATAAAAATGAATTAAAAACAGCTTTAGTAGCCTTTGGTTATCGTTTATCTGATAATATAGTTGATACTTTAATAAGAAAGTTTGATAGATTTGGCAGAGGTACAATTTTATTCGATGACTTTATCCAGTGCTGTATTATTCTATATGTTAGTACATTTGCAGTAATTAATGAATAAGTACGGAATTTAGTAGGATAATAAAAATAATTTTTAATCTTTTCAGACTCTTACTGCTTCATTCCGCCAATATGATACTGACCAGGATGGTATTATTACCATACATTATGAGCAATTTCTGAGTATGGTTTTTAGTCTAAAAATTTAATTATATTATATGAGGCCAATATTTATCATATGCATGCCAAAACATTAAATTTCTATCTTTAAATAACCATTTTTGAATAACTATTTTCTATATTTGAATGTTAACAAGCAGAAATATATAAATATATGTAATGTTAAATGTGCTTTTTAATTAATGGTAATATGACTATAGGTGATTATCCATACCTTTTATGCACTTGATTATTTTCAAATTTATACATAACGAGTTCTTTTAAAACACAATAAATAAAAGTACTAATATCTATACTATCTTTTCCTTTAGTTGCGGTTTATATTCATGGATAAGAAAGCAATATCATTAAAATTCGTTTCACAAAAATCACTGATAACTTAAAAGCTGGTAAAATTATAATTCAGTATAGGATTCAGTATGAATATAATATACTATTGTTTAAGATATTAATGTTTTTAATTCGTTTCTAATCGATCGATTTGGTTCGTTTCCAATCAATCGTTTTGGTTCAATAAATCGAATGAAAGAAATATTTTTTCATATCTGGCAACTCTTAATATGGGGAAACACTTTGTGTTGGCCACCCTGATTCTTTCAATAAACATCATTAAGTCAAATATAAATATTATAACCAAAAATTGTTTTATATATATGTGACTAAGTAAATATATTCATTTAATTGAACTTTAAAAAAAGTGATTTGCGGATGTGATTGTAAAGAAAGTATTTTAATATAGTGTTTTATAATGGCTGATGCAGCAGCCCGTCAACTACAGTATGAATACAAAGCGGTATAGTAACTTTTAAATAGAGATTTTTTTTATTCTGTACAACTTTTTCACAAAATAACTTATTTCAGAATTCAAATTTGGTTTTGCAAGCTGATGTACGTTTTATTGAACGTCGTAGTAGAGATGAAGCTACAGGAGAAGTGGTTTCACTTGTTGGTAGATTAAGTGGCACTCGTATGGGAGATCGCCACCAAAGGAGTAAACCAGATAAAGCAGAAGAACGTAAAGTCAAGTACGAAAATTATATTATGTATTTCTTTTGATAGAGCAGAGCTAACATAAATTATCTTTTATCAAATTTGCTTTCTTATTTTTGTGTTCAAGAAATGACTAATAATTTGGGGTCGATACTTCTGATTTGATTCAGTGCTTTATTGTATTATGTAATTTATAAGCTAATTTTTCAGACGTCAGAAACGTGATGAAGCACAATATGATTTTACACGAATGAAGGGTGTTACTCTTTTATCTGATGGCGTAGATGAACTAGTAGGCATTGTCTATAGACCAAAAACACAGGAAACAAGGCAAACTTATGAAGTATTACTTAGTTTTATTCAAGAAGCCATAGGGGATCAACCCAGAGACATTTTGTGTGGGGCTGCTGATGAAGTGATAGCAGTTCTAAAAAATGATAAATTAAAAGAGCGTGAGAAGAAAGTTGAAACTGAATCTTTATTGGGTCAATTAGCTGATGAAAGGTATATTTTAAAGAAGTCATACAAGTATTATCACTCTGCGATTATATATGCACCAAATTTTTGATATACTGAAACTTTCTCTACAGATTTGCATTACTTGTGAACTTGGGCAAAAAAATAACAGATTTTGGAAATGATTCCGGGGTTAACACTGTTACTGCATCAGAGGAACAAATTGATGATGCATATGGCATTAATGTGCAGTTTGAAGAATCTGAAGAAGAGGATGATGAAGATGTTTATGGTGAAGTTCGTGATGATGATGGCTTAAGGGGAGAAGATGAAGGTGAAGAAAATGAAGAGCTCACACGATCTATTCATGCTCAAAATGTAAGTAAATATTTGTATGCTTTTGCTTTGTGAATTATTTATTATCTATTACCTGTTATGTTTGCCATTGTGTGTATAAGTAAGTTAAGTTTTGCAAAACTTGTCTTGAAATTAATGAAAAGGAAAATATATTTTATTATTTAGCTTGGGAATGTAGAAGAACTAAAAAAAGATAAATCATTGCATCCTCTCGACATTGATGCTTATTGGCTTCAACGTAGATTAAGCAAAGTTTATAATGATGCTATGGTTTCACAAGCCAAAGCAAAGGAAGTATTAAATGTTCTAAAAGAAGCTAATGATGATAGAGAGTGTGAAAATCAATTAGTCTTACTTTTGGGGTATGATTGTTTTGATTTTATCAAACAGTTGAAGAAGGAACGTCAAATGAGTACGTATATGCAATCTGTACTTTTAGTGAAACAATAAGAAACAATAATATATTTCATATTTTTGTTTAGTTTTGTATTGTACTTTATTGGCATCATCTCAAAGTGAATCAGAACGACAAAAAATAAGAGACAAGATGTGCAGTGATCCAGCTTTGAAAAAAATCTTAAATCAGTTAGATACTGGTAAAGGCGTTGATGATGATGGATCCGGGGGAAATATGATGGATCATGATGGAACCAATAGTAATTCAAATGGGTTATCCCATGGTCGGAAAGGAGATGTTAGCTCTAAGGGTGAAAATTCCCAGGTTTGTTCTATGTGGTAATATTTACTTGTCCTGTTGAATCGCATTATATTCCTTACATTCTCATATCAAGTTTTTTTCAAAGCTTAATTTAAAAATGTAATTTTGTAGAATTCTGGGCCTTTACATGTTCTAGAATTAGAAGATCTCATATTTACACAAGGTTCCCATTTAATGGCTAATAAAAGATGTCAGTTGCCAGATGGTTCATACAGAAAACAGAGAAAAGGTGATTTTTATTACAAATGGCTCTGTTGTGTGCCAACAACCTCTTAATCTATTTATATTTTATTATTAATAAAATATATTTAACCATTCTTTATAATCTTTTTTCTAATTTTCAGGCTATGAAGAAGTACATGTGCCTGCTCTGAAACCAACTGCTTTTAAAAGTGATGAAGAACTCATAGCAATCAGCAAATTACCAAAATATGTTCAACCTGTATTTGAAGGTTTCAAAAATCTTAATCGTATTCAAAGCAGATTATACAAAGCTGCACTGGAATCTGATGAAAATCTTTTACTTTGTGCCCCTACTGGTGCTGGCAAGACAAATGTTGCTTTATTAACCATGATGCGAGAAATTGGAAAACACATCAATTCAGATGGCACTATTAATGCTGATGAATTTAAAATTATCTATGTTGCTCCGATGAGATCTCTTGTACAAGAAATGGTTGGAAATTTTGGTAAAAGATTGGGCTGTTATAATTTGAAAGTGTCCGAGTTAACTGGTGATCATCAACTGACAAGAGAACAAATTGCTGCAACACAAGTGATAGTATGCACTCCAGAAAAATGGGATATTATTACCAGAAAAGGTGGTGAGAAAACCTTCACGACTATGGTTCGTTTGGTAATCATTGATGAAATTCATCTTCTTCATGATGAAAGGGGCCCTGTTCTTGAAGCGCTTGTTGCAAGAACCATTCGTAATATTGAAACATCTCAAGAAGATGTAAGGTTAATTGGTTTATCAGCTACACTTCCCAATTATGAAGATGTGGCAACTTTTCTTCGAGTCAAAAGACAAACTGGTTTATTCTATTTTGATAACAGTTTTAGACCAGTAGCATTGGAACAGCAATATATTGGTGTCACTGAGAAGAAGGCTTTGAAAAGATTCCAGGTTATGAATGAAATAGTTTATGAAAAAACTATTGAGCATGCTGGTAGAAACCAAGTGTTAGTTTTTGTTCATAGCAGAAAGGAAACTGCAAAAACAGCTCGTGCAATTCGTGATATGTGCCTGGAACGAGATACCCTTGGTCAGTTCTTGAGGGAAGGTTCTGCTAGTGTTGAAGTATTGAGGACTGAGGCAGAACAGGTTAAAAATGCAGAATTACGGGATTTATTACCATATGGATTTGCTATTCATCATGCGGGTATGACTAGAGTAGATAGAACACTTGTTGAAGATTTGTTTGCTGATAGGCACGTACAAGTACTTGTGTCAACTGCAACCTTAGCATGGGGTGTGAATTTACCAGCTCACACAGTAATAATTAAAGGAACTCAAGTATACAATCCTGAAAAAGGACGTTGGGTTGAATTAGGAGCTTTAGATGTTCTTCAAATGTTAGGTCGAGCTGGTAGACCCCAATATGATACAAAAGGCGAAGGAATACTTATTACTAACCACAGCGAATTGCAATATTATTTATCTCTTCTTAACCAACAGCTGCCTATAGAATCCCAAATGATAGCAAAAATGCCTGATATGATGAATGCTGAAATTGTATTAGGTTCAATTCAAAACATTAGAGATGCAGTTACTTGGTTAGGGTATACATATTTATACATAAGAATGATGAGAAATCCTACTTTGTATGGAATTTCTCATGATGCAGCAAAAGATGACCCATTGTTGGAATTGCATAGAGCTGATCTTGCCCATACAGCTGCACTGCATTTAGATAGAAGTGGTTTAATCAAGTATGATCGAAAAACTGGGCATTTCCAATGTACGGAGTTAGGAAGAATAGCATCACATTATTATTGTACATATGATACTATGCTCACATACAACCAACTACTGAAACCAACTTTGAGCGAAATTGAGCTATTCAGAGTGTTTTCATTATCTGGTGAATTTAGAAATATCACTGTTAGAGAAGAAGAAAAACTTGAACTTCAAAAATTAATGGAACGTGTTCCCATTCCAATTAAGGAAAATATTGAAGAACCTTCTGCCAAAGTAAATGTACTTTTGCAGGCTTATATATCTCAACTAAAATTGGAAGGATTTGCATTGATGGCTGATATGGTTTATGTTACTCAATCTGCGGCTAGATTGTTGAGAGCTATATATGAAATTGTTTTGCACAAAAAATGGGCTCAACTTGCAGATAAATCTTTGTCATTATGTAAAATGATTGATAGAAGAATGTGGCAATCTATGTGCCCTCTCAGACAGTTTAAGAAAATGCCACAAGAAATTGTGAAAAAACTGGAAAAGAAAAACTTTCCTTGGGAAAGACTCTATGATTTGGGCCCAAATGAAATTGGAGAGTTAATTCGAGCTCCTAAATTGGGAAAAATTGTACACAAGTATGTACATCAGTTCCCTAAACTTGAAATGTCTACACATATACAACCAATCACCAGATCTACTCTGCGAGTTGAATTAACCGTAGTTCCTGATTTTCAATGGGATGAAAAAGTTCATGGACTTTCGGAAGCTTTTTGGATTCTTGTGGAAGATGTTGATTCAGAAGTAATTCTTCATCATGAATATTTTTTGTTAAAACAGAAATATTGTCAGGATGAACATTTGATCAAATTTTTTGTTCCTGTATTTGAACCATTGCCTCCTCAATATTTCTTGCGTATTATTTCTGATCGTTGGATAGGAGCCGAAACCCACTTACCAGTTTCATTCAGACATTTATTACTACCAGAAAAAAATTTACCTCCTACAGAATTATTGGATTTACAACCTTTACCAGTAACTGCATTAAGAAATGAAAAGTTTGAGGCATTATATGCAGATAAATTCCCGCAATTCAATCCTATTCAGACCCAAGTTTTCAATGCTGTTTACAATAGTGGAGATAATATTTTTATTGGTGCACCTACTGGTTCCGGAAAAACAACCATAGCTGAATTTGCAGTGTTGAGAATGTTCTCTCAACAACCGAATGGTCGGTGTGTATACTTGGTATCAAAAGAAACTTTGGCTGAGTTAGTATTCAATGATTGGCACAATAAGTTTACTGTAATGCTTGGAAAGAAAGTTGTTCATCTGACTGGTGAAACAGCAACAGATTTGAAGTTGTTGGCAAAAGGACAAATTATAATAACAACAGCTGATAAATGGGATGTTTTATCAAGACGGTGGAAGCAAAGAAAAAATGTACAAAATATTCAGTTATTTATTGCTGATGAGTTGCATTTGATTGGCGGTGAAGATGGTCCTGTCTTAGAAATAGCTTGTGCTCGAATGAGATATATCTCATCACAGATTGATAAACCTATTAGAATTATTGCTTTATCTTCATCATTATCTGATGCTAAAGATGTCGCACAATGGTTGGGATGCAATGCTAATTGTACCTTCAACTTTCATCCAAGTGTTAGACCAGTGCCTTTAGAATTACATGTACAGGTACATTTAATTTTTTTATAACCTAGTTTAATTATTTTTTAAAAATATATCATTATTAAATTAACACTTAATCCTACTTAAAAATGAAATCAATTTTGTTGAGCTTGTACTTATAAATATTTATTTTAATATAATATCTCTCAGGGTTTCAACATCACTCACCATGCATCAAGAATAATGGCAATGAATAAGCCAGTATATAATGCAATAATGAAACACAGCCCACATAAACCAGCAATTGTATTTGTATCGACTAGAAAGCAAGCTCGATTAACAGCAATTGAGCTGCTTACTTATTGTGCAGCTGAAGGTCAACCTAACAAATTTTTCCATGCTGAAGAAGAAGATATCAAACCATTTTTAGACAGAATGAATGATAAAGTAGGCTATAAAAAATAAATCAGATACATATTAACATCATAAATTTTTATTAAAGTTTAAACTAATTAATTTGCATTGAATTATGTTTTTAAGCAGCATTTTATTAGCTTAACTTAGAGTTTCAATTACTCAAAAATATTAATGTTTAAAGACCATGTTGTGTTTAAAATAGCATGTTGTGGAAAGTACATGAATATGTTTGAATTAATTTTCAGACTCTGAAGGAAACACTTCTTCAAGGAGTTGCATATCTTCATGAAGGATTGTCATGCACTGATCATAGATTGGTTGAACAATTATTTGATTCTGGTGCCGTGCAAGTAGCTGTTGTGTCCAGAGATTTGTGCTGGGGTTTAAATATTGCTGCTCATCTTGTTGTTGTGATGGATACTCAATTTTATAATGGCAAAGTAAATAAGATTAATTTTTTTTAATAAGTTTTTATTTTTCTTTTGTCATGATGATCAAAATCCTTGCGCACTGATATACGGATGACAGTATTGGTTCCCAGTTCAACTTGATAAGTTAAATTGGGCTGAATAAAGTTTTAAACTATATTATTATAAATATGTGATGTTCAATAATTTATTCAGTATATTATTTTAGATTCATGTTTATGAAGACTATCCCATTACTGATGTCTTGCAAATGTTAGGGCGAGCAAATAGACCACATGATGACAATGATGCAAAATGTGTGTTATTATGCCAAAGTTCCAAAAAAGATTTCTTTTTGAAATTTGTAAATGAATCATTGCCTGTTGAAGTAAGTTTATAATATATTTTAATAACATTACTTCAATACAATTACTTTCCTACTAAGAAAAATAACAATTTATTAATCCCCTAATAATCAAATAAATTTCAGAGCCATTTAGATCATAGACTTCACGATCATTTTAATGCTGAAATTGTAACAAAGACAATAGAAAATAAACAAGATGCAGTAGATTATATGACGTGGACATTTTTATATAGAAGATTAACTCAAAACCCAAATTATTATAGTTTGCAAGGAGTTACACATAGGTAAGATAAATTGTAAATATGATTTTTTGTGTGTGTATATCTTAAAATTCAAATGGTAGAAGTTTTGTGTTAATGAATTCAAAATCTAATGAATTAATGACAGGAGTAATTACAATTTTTCAGGCATTTATCTGATCATTTATCAGAGCTGGTGGAAACAACTTTAAATGACTTGCAGAACTCTAAATGTATAACCATTGAAGATGAAATGGATTGTGTACCGCTGAACTTAGGAATGATAGCAGCCTACTACTATATAAACTATACTACTATAGGTATAAACTGTTCAAATAAACTGCTTCATAAAAAGTAAAATACTAATTTTAATAATGAACTTTTAGAATTATTCAGTTTATCATTGAATAGCAAAACTAAGATTCGTGGGTTGCTTGAAATTATATCATCGGCGGCTGAATATGAAGATGTTGTTGTGCGTCATCATGAAGATGGTTTACTAAGAACACTTGCATCTAGATTGCCAAATAAATTAGTTGGACCAAAAGGCACACAACCTAAGTAGGAACATCAAAATCATGCTATGGTCATTGCATTATTTTTTTTAACTATATTTATTTTTAGATATAATGACCCACACATTAAGACAAATCTACTTTTGCAAGCTCATTTGAGTCGCTTGCAGTTAGGGGCAGAGTTGCAAGGAGATACAGAGAAAATTCTGGCAAAGGTAAGATGTTTTTTTATTTCTTGATTTAATGGCAATGTAAGATTTTGTAAGTTTTTCTTGAAACTTGTATTAATTAATTGTGGTGTGTTTAATTGCAGGCAATTAGATTGATTCAAGCGTGTGTTGATGTTTTGAGTTCTAATGGTTGGTTGTCGCCGGCCGTAGCTGCTATGGAATTAGCACAAATGGTTACACAAGCCATGTGGAGTAGAGATTCATATCTAAAACAATTACCACACTTCACAAATGACATTATTAAAAGATGTACAGATAAGGTCTGCACTATTCTATATTTGTTATATTTATTGTAAATCAAAAGAAGCAACAAATTTAAATTTTTAATTTTTATCACTGCAATTTTCTTGTATATGAAATAACCAATTCAAAAGTATGAACGGTTTAAAAATATGAACTATGCAAAAGGTGAATTGATCTAATTTTCATGTTTCAATATTTACAGAAAATTGATACCGTTTTTGACATCATGGAACTTGAAGACGATGATAGATCTAAATTATTAATGATGACAGACAGTCAAATGGCTGATGTTGCCAAATTTTGTAATAGGTATCCTAATATAGAAATGTCTTATGAAGTAGAGGAAGAAGATAATATTCACTCGGGGGCTTCTATAAATGTTGTGGTCAGTTTAGAGAGAGAAGATGATGTAACTGGCCCTATTATAGCCCCATTTTTCCCTCAGGTATATTAAAGTGTTTTATCTATTCAACATGCTATATTTTATAACTACTTAACCAAATATTTCATTACAGAAACGAGAAGAAGGATGGTGGGTTGTTATTGGTGACCCAAAATCGAATTCCTTGCTTTCTATCAAGAGGTTAACTTTGCAGCAAAAAGCAAAGGTTTTTATTCATTAATGTTTTCATCTATTCATATGATATAATTCTAATTTATTTAATAAATATATTTTTATTCAATCTTTCAGGTGAAATTGGATTTTATAGCACCAAGTCCTGGGTCTCATTCTTACACACTGTATTTCATGAGTGATGCTTACCTTGGCTGCGATCAAGAATATAAGTTTTCTATTAATGTATTAGATTATGTATCTAGTAATAGTGATTCTGATTGAAAATTCTATTTAGAATGTATTATTTTAATAGATTTTTTTAATTTTGTGATTACATAAGAATATAAAACACAACCATATTATGTTTTATTTCAACAGCATGATTTTAATAATTTAATAAATTGAATTCATAATTCTAAATAAAAAAAAATCTTTAATTTTATTATTATAATTATATTTAATTCATTAGAAAATAGAGCAAACAATATAGGCTTTAATAGGGCTTTAATTTTTATTCAATTCAGTTTGATTTTTTATTTATTTATAACTTAAAATTAAACCTCTCATTTCAATTTAAAGTGATAATTAAATTCTGGTGGACTATAAACACATATCTAATGTATAATATTTCAGAAATAAAAAATATAGTAAAATATTTATATAATAAAAATATATAATTAATAAATATTTTATTATAAATAAAATGAATATCGATTTATGTTATTCAATAGTTGATTATTATTAAATGTATGATCAATTTAAAATTTTAAATTAAATTTAATGGTTTGCTATCGCTCCTCGTAATACTTTTAACAAATTCAAATTCTCTAAGCTTCGCGCGCTTATTTTACGTTCACGACATGACTGGTAGTCTGCCTCACCAATGTAAGGCGTTCATTGTTCCCCAACTCCTGGCTATTGGTCTCTAATTTGTTGGTGCGTTGACCAATCATTGGAAAACTGTTGAAAATACCCAATGTAGGTCAGCAAACTTTATAGTTTCTTGTCACGTTGACTTTTACTAATAACGTGGTATGAAGGATAAACAAATATTTTCACTTGTCGGAAATATTCGAAGCTTATTAGGCAAAATGGCTGTCCATTTTGATTTGACATGTAAAATTTTCACTTATAAATGTTTTTATCGGTTGGTGTTTATTAATAGGTGACGTGATTTTTAAATCTGCGAATAATTTTGACATGGAGCAAACTCAATTAACTGGTGATGGACAAGTTATGATCGGAGGGCAAGCCGTCCAAGTGATACATATGAATCAGCCTCAAGTTCTCCAAGGTGCTAATGGTCCTATAGTCGTACATGCTATTCCACAATCTGGGCAAACTATACAGGTAAATAAGTGTAATATAAATTATGTGGAAAATATAAATATTTAAGAAGTCCTCGAGTCCATGTCAGAGCAACCGTTTCAATACAATTGTTTATAATGCTTCAATGAAAGTTCTGTAATATTTCGTTCTAAGAATTATCATCATGTAATAGTCCTTTCCTTATAAATTAAATAGCAACTCACATATTCATAGGTGGCAAATCCCAGTGGTCAAAATTTGCAGCAAATACAAGTATTACCTGTCTCCAGTCTTCAAAATACTGCTAGTAATGGTCAAATAGTACTACAACAGCAACCTCAACCTCAGCAAGCTCAAATCATTCAAACATCTGATGGGCAAACATATATTTATCAGCCTATGTCGGCTATAGAAAACAGTGTGCCTGCACAAGCACCTCAAGCACAACCCACTGGTTTAAGTAAGAATTGAAAAAAATATATATTTATATTGACATATTTATTAATCAATTTATTTTCCAGTCATAAACCTTAATGGAAATCTTGTACAAATCAATGGTACTGCTCAACAGCAACCCACAGTTAATAATACACAAGCAATACAACAGCTTGCACAACAGCAAATAGTTCAAAATGGCAATGTCGTCATGGTTGGTTAATTATAGATATATTTAATATATTGAATTAAGTTTTATATTTATATACATATATATGAATTTATCTCTTCGCAAAGATGGTTCCAAGTACATCTGCTGCAACTGTTCCACAATTTGCCCCAAGGGTTAATATTCCTGGTGAATTCTTAGAAGAAGAACCTTTGTATGTCAATGCTAAACAGTACCGGAGGATATTAAAAAGGCGACAAGCACGTTCTAAATTAGAAGCTGAAGGAAAAATTCCCAAAGAAAGACCAGTAAGTTTTATGCATAATTATGTTGCATATTTCAACTATTGTAGAAACAATTTCTCTTTATTAATCTTATCTTACTTTTTTTATTTGAATTAAAGTTGACAATTTTTTCTAAACAGAAATATCTACATGAATCTCGACATCGACATGCCATGAATAGGATCCGTGGAGAAGGAGGAAGATTTCATTCGGGTTCAGTTAAGAAGAAACGGTATTTATTTCATTAATTCAAAATAAATAGTTGTATATTATTTAACATATATAATTTCAGTGCAAGAAATGTTGCAACGTCTGTTGAAGGACAAGTTATAATCCAAAGTAGTACAACTAGTACAGCTTCAAATTGTACGGATGGAAATGAAATATCGAATCAACAAATTTCTATTCATCCAACACCGATACAGCCAATGCCAATGCAAAATATTATGCTAGATGTAAAATATGATAGCTCTTGTGTTTAGGTCAAAATTAGTTATAATTCAATTCAAGCCCTTCACAATGTAAGTGTAATATATAATTAGAGATTTAAGTGATAAATTTTATATGTATATGTATATATATAAATATTCTGTCAAGTACCTTAACATAGAATATTGTTTTTAGATACCAAAATAGATTATAATTTGTTTATATGAATTCAAATTTGACATAATATTTTTTAATTTAATAAAAATGACTGTTATAAAATAATTAGTATTTTTACCTTTATACTAGAAATGTAATTTTATAATTTAGTAAAACATAATAAATTTATTTACACGATCTGTTTTTATTCCTTGTTGTTTGAAGCTCATGCCATGAAGGTATACCTTCTGTAATTAATATCAAATTGGCAGTAGTAATTTTCTTATCATAATCAATGGGTTTTGCCTAATGGTTTATTACATGAGAAAATTTTTAATATGTGTTATCATACTGATTATCACTTCCTTATTTTTTATTATACTAAAATAGTTGATAAGATTACACTTGAACATTGATATCATTGACTTACATTGTATTAAAAATGTGTTCTTTCAATAGTTACAGATTGTAGCAATATTTTATTTGATAATAGTTAATTCAGTGATACTGTTGTTGAATGTGAGGAATATTACTCAAGTATCATTTTAATATTCAAGACTTTCATGGTACATGTCAATAACAGCAATGATTCTGGTTTGTGTTAACAAAAAGAATTCAAAATTTGTGCCATTAAGATAATAAAGTGCCATCTATTGTTGAGATTACAAACATTTTGATAAACTTTTTTTGACATAATATCAAAATACGCAAAATATTTATTATTCAAGTGAAAGAAACTGAAGTGGCAACAAGTATAGATCTTAATTTTAACTATATAACTTTTAATGCGTTAACTATTTTCGTGTTAATTTTAATTTTTACAATGTGAAAGAAATCTTATTTATTGCTATATTTGCAAGTCATAAATCTGGTCATGTGAAGACACATGTCATTGTTGTTACCTGTTTAGTTTTAAATAATCATTGTGAGTCATTTCAATGCACGATTTGTAAATTAAATTATATATTAACTATTTTACTTGACCTTACTATCCACTTGATAGATTATAATGAATTTAAAGATTTGATAATAATTATTCTTTATATTAAACATCAAATTTCCAATACAGCATATATTAAACATTAAAATGCATTAACACAATTAGTTTATTATGCTAAAATTGATCTTGTTCGTTCAATTCGGTATAGGGCTCTTTTTACTTATCACTGATTATTGAAATCATTTCATTGTTTCTTAATTTTAACTCTATAATCAATATTACTTACTAATAATTATACCTTAATAAAGTTAAATTATATTTATTAGGTATTGGATGGATTGTGTATTAGTTATATCTGCTTATGTCATAAAATTTCAATACATTTTAAAATTATATTATGTATTAGCGATAATATTCATAGTCAAATTTATTTTCAATTGACTTAGGACTAATTAACGTTGATTTGCAAATTCAATATGTTAGAATGTATGCATATAAAATTTATACCATTCTTTTTCAGAGTTAATCATAGAGCAATTAGTTTTTTAAAATTACAACCATGAAGTACTGTCCGCCTAATATAACATTATCAGATGTGTGGGTAAATCATGGAATATCAGAATGTTTTATGGACACCGTTTCGTACACAGCAACTTTGAGTATTTTACTTATTTTTGGAACATTGCAATTGCTAATGTATATGAAATATTCGACTAGAGTAAATAATGCACAAGTAAATAAATCAAAATTATATATTATGCAAATATGTTTCACTATTTTGATACCAGTTTTGAGTGTTGTAAGATTTACTCTTCAAGCTACATATTTTAAAGAGCATGATCTATATGGATATATGGTAAGAAGTCATTAATTATTTTTGATATATGTGTAAATTATTTAAAATATTTTTTTTCATAGATATTATCAGTCGTTGCAACTGTGGTGATGTTTCCTTTTTCCATACTTTTAATACAATCGGAAAGACATTATTTATTACCATCCGTGCCCAGCAGAGGCCATGGATTGGTGTTACTAATATTTTGGACCTTAGTATTTATCTCAGAAAATTTAGTCCTTGTAAATATTAGAAATGCAAATTGGTGGTTTAATCTTAAGACGTAAGTTACAAAATATTTAATATCTGTTAAATTAAAACTATTTAAACTTATTATTTGCAGGCGTAGTGATCAGATAGAAATGCTACTATTTATTTTAAGATACATTTCTTGTCTTCTTGTTTTTGTTCTTGGACTTTGTGCACCAGGAATTAAACTGAATGTAGATTATATCACGCTTGATGATTCACATCATCCAGTTAGTTTACCAAGGGTAAATTTCATATTTCTGAAAATATTGTGACTATTGAAATATTGAAACAATTGAACATTTTTTGTGTTTCATTGTATATTTATCAAAATTATGTGTATAATAATAAAATAATGGAAAGTCATTACCTGAATAAAAAGGCTCATTTATATGTAACATTCATAATAAGACAATTTATTTATCAATTGTATTATAAACTTTAATTTCATTTTAGGATCGACGAGAAAATCAAGGTTCTACATTTAGTAATTTTTGGAGAAAGATTAAAATTCTTGCTCCATTTTTATGGCCAAAAAAAGATTTTCTTCTGCAATTTCGAGTCATATTCTGTCTACTTTTACTTCTAGCCGGGCGTGTTATTAATTTATATGTTCCAATATACAACAAGATGATTGGTAATGTAGCTAAATTCTTGTGAAAATTTGAAATATGATATGAATTTAAATTTTCTGTTGCAGTTGATAGCATAACTATAACTAAAATACATACAAAACTGGTATTCGAATGGGGATGGATTCTAGTTTATGTATTTTTTAAATTTCTCCAAGGGGGAGGCACTGGAGGAATGGGCTTGTTAAATAATTTAAGAAGTTTTTTATGGATTCGAATACAGCAATACACTACAAGAGAAGTCGAATTGGAACTCTTTAAGCATTTGCATAGCCTTTCATTGAGATGGCATTTAGGAAGGAAAACCGGAGAAGTAAATTAAAATCTATAAATATTTCCTGGAAATGGATGTATTTTTATGCACATAATTTTTGGTAATTTAGGTGTTGAGAGTAATGGATCGTGGAACAGACAGCATTAACAATTTACTGAACTACATTCTATTTTCTATTATGCCGACAATAATTGATATTCTAGTGGCGGTAGTGTTCTTTGTGTTAGCATTTAATGCATGGTTTGGATTAATTGTGTTTGTAACAATGGTTTTATATATAGGTGAGTTAATTAGTTTTTACATTTTTATTGAAATTCTATTATTTTGACTAAATTTTCAGTTATAACTATTTCTGTTACTGAGTGGCGTACAAAGTTCCAAAGAAGAATGAATTTGGCAGATAATGCACAAAAAGCAAGAAGTGTTGATTCTTTATTGAATTTTGAGACCGTTAAATACTATGGAGCTGAACAGTATGAAGTAAATTGTTACAAAGAAGCTATTATTAATTTTCAGGTAAAACTTTAAATGTTTGCTTTAAAACATCTGTTGAACAACTATCTAAATTTGTTTTAATATTTCAGAGTGAAGAATGGAAATCTTTAATAACAATGAATATTCTGAATACTTTACAAAATATAATTATTTGCACAGGTTTATTGGCAGGTTCTTTATTGTGTGTGCACATGGTTGTCGATGATCAAGGCCTAACAGTGGGAGATTATGTACTTTTTGCTTCATACATAATTCAATTATATGTTCCTCTTAATTGGTTTGGAACTTACTACAGGTATTATTAATAAATACTTTCTAAAATGAGATATTTTAAAAATAATTGTTATTACATTCCAGAATGATTCAAAAGAATTTTGTTGATATGGAGAATATGTTTGAATTAATGCGCGAAGAGCAAGAAGTTGTTGATATACCTGGTGCTAAAAACCTTGTCATAAATAATGGCGGAATAGAATTTTCTAATGTTAGTTTCAGTTACACTCCAGAACGAAGGGTACTTAAAAACATTAGTTTTCATGTTTCTGCTGGCAAGACATTAGCTTTGGTATAATATATTATATTATTTTATAAGAAAGTAAATACTTATATATGAATTAAATCTTATAGTTATTTTTGCTTAGGTTGGACCTTCTGGCAGTGGAAAAAGCACAATTATAAGATTATTATTCCGTTTTTATGATGTTGAAGGTGGTGTTATCTTGGTAGATGGTCAAAACATTAAAAGTGTAAAACAAGATTCCCTTCGTAATGCTATTGGTGTAGTGCCCCAGGATACTGTTCTCTTCAATAATACAATTAAATACAATATTCATTATGGTAGAGTGGATGCACCAGACACTGATGTAATAATAGCGGCTAAAAATGCTGATATTCATGAGAGGATTTTATCATTCCCCGACGGTTATGAAACTCAAGTTTGTGAAATTTGTTATTTTTGTAAAATTTAGGTCTAATGGTTATTTGTAATTAAATAATTTGAATCTTTTGGTAAAAAGGTAGGAGAAAGAGGTCTTAGACTTAGTGGTGGTGAAAAGCAAAGAGTTGCAATTGCAAGAACACTTCTTAAAGCACCACAAATTGTTTTATTAGATGAGGCCACGAGCGCATTAGATACACAAACTGAACGCAACATTCAATCTGCACTGTATCGAGTTTGCTCGAACAGAACTACAATTATAGTAGCACACAGATTGTCAACAATAATACACGCTGATGAAATTATTGTTCTTAGTGAGGGAGAGATTGTTGAAAGAGGAAGGTATTACCACATGAAACAACAATTAAGTAGTATTTTACAAATTTTATAAACAAGAGGAATATTTACTTTTATTGTTTTGAGGAGCAGTATTTTTCTGTTGAATATGTAAATTGATAATTTTCATTTTAATAAATTGTGGTAACTTTTTCAGACATGAAGACTTAATAAATGCGAATGGGGTTTATGCAGACATGTGGCAACAACAGCTCCAGGCTGATGATAATCATGATAGTGAGAATACTGAAGAAGTTAAGCCAAAATCGGAGGAACCAATTGTTGTTAATAGAAAACCACATAATCACCCATAATAAAATGTCAATATAAAAATAATATAGATTATTTTCTTTTATAGAGTATTTATGCATTTTTTATAATATACATATATATATATATATATATATATATATATATATATATATATATATATATATATATAGCATACATATAATATAATTATTTACGTGCTAATAGCTAAATATATTATATATTTATAGCCTTATCACTTAGAAGCATTTACCAAAAGGCTTCCACTAAACAGGTTTACCAAATACTATATGCATAATGCTCTTCTAGTTGCTTTTCAACGGTACTTCTATGCAATCAAGGTTGTATATAAATTTATGAGTTTTTGGACTTGACATTTCATATGTTTAGGAATTTTTCAAATATCTCGAGCGACTTGGATTTGGAAGTAAAAATAAAAGACAACATAATGCAATAAACATTTGAAAAATTTTGTTTAAATTTTAAATTTGTTTATTATTTCAAATTAAACGTGCTTTAATTTTTATTAGTTTTCGAAAATTGTGTGTAGTAGAATGAAGTTAATATTGTTAAAATCATAATGTGGAACAATAAACTAAATTGAATATTAAACATTCGATGGGTGGAAGCCAATCCTTGCCCACAAATGTAAAGATTTCAAATAAAGGTGTAAGGCGTACTGGAGGCGGTGAAAATATTAGAAAATCAAAAGTTAGTTGAATTATTACTTAAATAATGGTTTTAAATTTGTTATCAGAACTTCTTTTTAGGTTGTTAGAGATGATATATCAGAAAGTGTAGATACTTCTAGTCACACTGATATCTACACTAGCACCTCCGGTGAAGAAATTGTAAAGGAGCAGCTTGAGCAAATTATAAAGACTGTGAAATATACTGACAAATTAATTCGACCAACTAAATATCAGTATACATTGCAACGATTGAAACCTAAAGAAGTCAAACAATTAGTCCAGCGAGGTTCTGGTATTAGCATCGGTTCTTCCTCTGATAGTTGTGACAGATTAACTGAATCGTCAAAAGACAATAGTGCAGCGACAAACTATTACACTGAATCTGATGATCTAACAAGAAATTTTGACTCGGAATCTGTCGAATCAAACTTACGTTTGTGTCGTCGTTGTTGCTCTGATCAATCAAAATCGGTTTCTTCATATGGAGTAAATCAAGAAAGTAATTGCATTTGTTCAACAGAAAGTAATACGAGGATTCCAAAAACACAAAACATTGTATGTAATAAAAACAATATCAAACCATTAACTATTGTTGTCACTAATAAATTAAAAGAACCAGATAATTGTAGAAGCAAAGGATTGTCAGAAAGAAGATCAAAATATATTGATGACCAAAAAACAGATGTAAAAGCTCAAGCTAACATTAGACGTGAGGCTACTGAAGATCTACAAGACGAATCGACACATACCTTAGACCAACTGTGTTTGGGAAACCCACAAGACAAGAAATTGAACAGTGCCAATCAACCAACAAGTAGACATGTTGAACAAAATCGATATCATACTTTGCAAGAGAAAAAGTTAATTGATGATTTAGAACTTCAAAATATAATTGGTACACAAAAAGACAAAGTTAATATAAAATCAAAATTACCTGAAAACCCAAGTTTAGGTCGGGGCAATACACCAATTGAATTATATAAACAAGAAGTTAATAAAAAAAAACCTTCGCATTCAGATTCGTGTTTTTGTGCTCAACCTTGTGCTAACTGTTGTAAGTTTGAATCACCTACTAATAAGATCTCCCGCCTGCAGGAAAATTTAACTAAAACTACTTGCAATTGTGAAAAATCATATCAAGAATTTGATGAAACTTGTTCCTTGTGTAAGAGTTCTTTCAATGGGACCAAACTAAATAAATCGCATACTGATAAGGGTTTAAAACAGCAAGAGGAAATAGAGAAAAGGAAATTTAAAGATAATACTGTTTTCAAAAAATCCGGATCTCCCAAACAAAGGGATGCTATATGCATATGCGATATTGATGTAAATAAATGTATCTGTGAGCAACAAAACAGTATACAAGGATTTGATGAAGGCAATGTACAAGATTTTTCTAAAACAAGCAATTCTTTAGATGTTCCAAAATCTGTAAGATCACGTATAAAAAATTTTAATGCAGGCTTCAAGCACACTCCAGAAGATACTGGAATAAGAAGTGATTCCAATAATTCAAAATTAATACAAGTTTTTAATCGAGATTCTAATGAAAAAAGTTTTTACAGTTCGCCACGAAACTCTGAAAAATCAAGATACACGTGTATATGCAAAAATAAACTTTGCACTTGCCCTGCCTCAGAAGCAGTAAATAAGGATATTATCAATATTTACAACTCAAATAATTTCTCAAATGTGGCTACAGCTGAAATTGTATCCTGTGACGATCAGTTTGATAGTACTCCCATTTGGGAACCTCTTATGAGTGGCGACAAGAATTTATTTAGTATTGAAATTGCAAAAGAAATTCAAGCAAAGGCTAAATCTGCGAAAGAATCCAAACCTAATCATTTGAGAAAAGAACTTCCGTCTGGCAGCGGAAACAATTACAGCGTGAGACCAATAGACGTAATTTCAACAGTTGTTACAAAGGTTCCAAAAAGCAAGCCAAACAAACCGGTTTTGTTGGATGTTGAGATCTTTCCAACAATGGAACACCCAAACGGGCTGAAACCAAAACAGCACAAAGTTGTGGTCAAATCTTATGGACCATCCCGCGATAAGTACTGTGAAAATAAGTCAACGGCAGACGTCCGTTCCCATATTCCACGTTATAATTCTGATGTCGATAGACGCCTTTATAATAAATGTTGTGATTATTCAGATGATTGGGATACATATTTTGAACCAGAATCCGTGAATGACTCTAGAAATGGGCATTCAATAAATCAAAGTTATGCTCCACCAAGATTGAATAATGTAGGTCAAAGGTGCTCTTGCTATTGTTCGTATTGTAATGCTAACAAAAACAAGACGGCGACTGGAAATAGAATGCAACAGAGTAGCAGTCAGACGACTCCGTCAATTTACGGATCACGTGGTCCTTCGCCCGTTCCTTGCAACTGTTGCAAATGTCGAATGGGTTCGCCTCATCGTTTCAAAAATGTAAATCATCAAAAAGTGCACATGGATAGATCGACAAATACTTCGCAGAATAATTTATATAGAGGAAAACATTGTTCACGTAGCGAAGTTAATGGCATTTGCAGATGTTCCTGCACCTGCAACAAATATCTTCCACAAGCACCATCTCGTCAATACACTGAAAGCTCAAATATCAGTCCTAGATATTGTAATTTAACGTCACCCGATTATGATCGATCTCCAAATCAGGCAAGCAATTGCACATGTGATCATTGCATGAGAAATGATCCAAACATCGCAGTTCCAAACAGAGAATTTGATAAATTGCCTTACGAAAAGCATAAGAAATATGGAGAACTTGTTAATGAATTGCAGCATGAATTAGGTGCGCGTAAAATATTAAATAACATTGAAGAGGGTCATTTCAGAGGAAAATGTCGATTGAATGATAGTAATTCTTGGTCGAATAAAGATGAATTTTGTCGGAGCGATTGTGCTTTATATCAAGAGCGTATTAAAGAAAAACGAGAACAAGATCGAAAATGTTGCAGTTCAGCAGAGCACGATCGCCACTTAATCGAACGCGGACGAGTTGAAAAACATATATCCAAATTCAATAGCAATCAGGATTGTTGGACAGTACCGAAATGAATACTAAAATACGTTTTACTTAATTTTAATATGAATTGGAATCAAAATCTTTGTACATATTCAATTTTCTTGATTAATAATGCATTAAAGTCAAAAATATTTTATTAATACTATATTAATAATGAAGGAGATATTTGGATTCTGTGGCTCAACAAATTTTAAATTAAATTAAATTAGAACTTAGTGATTCACAATTGATTGCTATTGTTTTCTACATGAATAGTTCTAATTTTATTAATATATCTTAAAAGTCTGTATAGCAGTTGATAAAAAATCTTATTTGATGGCATAACAAATTATCAGTGAAAAAGTCGTGCAATATTGGAATATTTTGAATAAAAAAATGTACATGTAAGTTCTGATTTTAAAATTAATGGCAAGACTTTATTCAAAACTTATAACAAACACAGCAAATAATTGCACATATTGTTTACATACATTTATACCTACTTACATTCCAGTAACACAATGTTGTAACATAAATAACACAGAAATAAATACAATCAACACAATTATCACCCTGTTGACCTCAATAAATACATAACTTTAGTATTTACCCAACATTCTTTCTTAAATCTGAGAGATCACAAAATACTGTTGTGAAAAATAAATATTATACAGCTACCGATTCCGCAAATTAATGCCGGTTACATCCTGCGTTTCTTCCTATTCTTTCTATATCCTTTTCCAAACCAACCGGCTTGTATTTTATTAGATTTGTCATCAATTTTCTCTTCTTCATTTTCTGCTAAAGAATCACTATCATCTGACTTCACTTTAGCGTTAGTGAGTTCTTCAGATATTTTAGTTTTTAATTTTACCTCATTTTTTAATGTATTTTCAACTTTATTATTTAATTCCTCATCTTCAGAACTGTCTGTATAATCACAGCAAACACAAAAAATTGATTTACCTTTTCGTTCAACTTTAATTCTGAAAAAATCTTGTTCTCTCTTATAAAATAGACAAATGAAACTATGATAGTTTTCCTGGCAAAAATCACATTCAACTTGTTTGGGTTTTTGTTGACTTATATCATATTCATTGTTTGTAATATATGATTCAGGGTCTTCTTCCTTCTTTTCGCTCTTTTTATTTGTTAATGAACTTCTTTTGTTCTTTTTTTTAATGACAGCATTTTCAGAGGCAAAATTGGTCTTAATATCTTGATAGGCTGTGTTTTCGGCAACTGAAATATTTTCATTTATGGGTATAATGCTATGTAATCCGCTGTAAACTAGCTTTGAATGTCCTAACTGCGGTTCTATTCTTTGATTTAGAGTAGCATAATAATTCATTAGTGCTTCATAATATCCAAATGTAAATGGATGGGATATGCTCTCAGAACTTATATATGATTGTTGTACAGGATTCATAAAAATACGATTTAACAAATTTTGTTGGGAAATTTGTGATATGCTATTTATGTGAAAGTCATGCTGATAATTTGGAGGAATAAAATTATTTAAATATTTACTTCGAGAAGTAAATTTTATACTAGGGTCATATTTATTATGACAAACTGTTGTCCTATTAAAGTCTTGTGGATCATCAGCCGCCACTAATTTTATTTTTTTCGGTGCTATTTCCGTTTCTGAATTTTCAATCTTGACAATGTGAGACTTTATATTATCTTTATTATTTGGTGATTTAGTTGAATTGAGTATACTGTCTATTGAAAATAGAGATGATTTTGTTGGGGAGACTAAAATAGATTGATTAGGAAATATTTTATCATCTAATACTACTTTTGTATTACCCTGAACTTCATCATTTAAATCATGAGATGATTCAATAATATTTAAATTAATGTTATTATCAGGCAATGTTTCTAACTTGGTGCAATAGTTAGAGTGTTTTAAATGTTTATCACAGGCTGTAGGACTATTATTTATACTAAAATTATGATTTGGAATTATAGATAATGAGTCTTGATCATTTAATAAACTATTACAACTAATATTTTGTTGATCCACAATAATATTATTGGAATCATTATTTTTCAAAATTTGCTCATAATCATTACTAGAGTCACATGGGTCAATCTTGACTTTATCTACTTCAGTTTTAATTTCTGATGCTTCACTATTCTCAACTTTATCATGTTCCATGGTAATATTTTTACTTTTGCAATCTACTTCAACATCACATTCAGATTTGGCAATATAAGATTCTGTTGCCTCAATTTTAATATTTTCTTTTGACACTTTGCATTTTGTTAAAACAGGCTGTGTTGTAGTATGTTGCTCCTCCTCTTGCAAAGGTGTTGCATGCGCAAACAATGGATCTTTGTGCCTTTCGTACGTAGGAATATCAATTTGTAATCCTGCCATTAATCTTTTTATCACTTCGTCACATCGACCATTAATTTTTAATATGGCACATTCGTCTTTTGGTGTCCATTGAAGATTAACTATATAAATTTTTGGTCGTTTTTTGGCTGGTCTATCCATAGCCCAAAGCCATGGATATCGTTTTAAGACCTAGTGAATAATTATGTAACTCCATAAATAAATCTGTAAAGTAATTGTTATAACTGGGTAAAATATGCTCACCTTTAAACTGGAACCTAAACACAAAATCACATCTGCCTGTTCTGAATGTCTAATCGCACCTTTCCAATTTAAGGGCCATGGTAAAGTACCTCTTTCACCAAAATGGACTATAGAATCGACTAATGCATCTCCACAATGCCTGCATTTTCTTCTTGTTTTGTGAGCATATCGACCTGTTAATTCTGTTGTGTCAAAAAGCCTCCAATAAGGCCTAGTCGGTTGACATTTTCGACAAACTTCAATGTACATATTTCCATGAACCTGACAATAAAAAAATTGTTATACCATACAAATTTCTAGTTTTATCAGTTTTGTGATTCAATGTATGCATTTTTTCAATGTATTTGAAAAATCAAATAGTTATTTTATCTGGACATACCTCTGACAAAGCAGCTTTAGGAAGACCAGACCGCAAATGTAAACCATCACAATTTTGTGACACAATATATCTAGAACATCATTAAATATTACATATTTTTGTGGACAATATTTGTATTTTAATACTTACTTCACAAAACCCTTTTTATGTAATTCATACAATGCCATATGTGTCAGAGTAGGTTCAGCCAGTGAGAGATCATGATTGCCTATTTCTTTTCCTTTCTGTAGTAAAGTCCAAATTCCTTGTGAGCCACGATAATCTGGTATTTGAGCTGATGTACTGATGCCAGCACCAGTGTAAACCTGTTTATATTGATAATGAAGTAAGAATTAATATAAAGTATATAACATGAATTACAGAAAATTGAAATTTCGGCACAAATATTCTATATACTCACTATTAGGTGATTAGCTTTCGATACAGCCTCAATTAGTAATTTGCATTTATCACCTAGTAGGTCAGGAGGATCTTCAACTTCTTGACATCTATCTTTAATTTTTTTGGTTCTAGCTTGTCTTGATTCTATTTCTGCAATTTCATCTTCACAAGTTAACAACAATATTCTTTCATCTTCTGTTCGTTGTGATTCACACTTTTGAAGAATAAGAGCAACCTAAAAATTTAACTTCTTCAGTATAAATCAACTCTTTTTATATGTGAAAGTTTTAATAAGCTGTAGTATCAATGTATATATTATATATATGGAATAATATTGCATATATTTGTACTAGATTAGATATTTTTTTGAATGAGATTTTGTATTAAATTATTTTCTTACGTTATAAGTAGAGGTATTGAATTGTTGAAAATAGTTTTTTTATGAACACAAGATGTAAAGAAAATAGGGCATTTATTAACCACATGCAATATTATTTCATTATGAACATTTATAGGCTTAGTAGATCATAGGGGATATCAAAACTAATTCTGACCCTTTTTATGGAAGCTTTTTTTTCTTTCTTGGCACAGAGTTTTGGGATTTGAATACATTTTCGTTTAGAAACTCCTGATAATAACAAATTTGTCTCCATATCTAGTTAATATGGAAGTACCTAACCCATATAATTCAAACTTGTATATCAAAATCTTTTCGCTTAATTATCACTCCAATAAATTATCCCCCCTTTTCACCTGCGATTAATAAGAAAAAAATTGTCCATGTTTTCCTAATTAATTTTCAGTAATCGAAAAATTTAATAACATTTACAAATGTTTATGTTTGCTTAAAATTTTGGGTTGGCAAGAATTGATTTTTGACTTTTTCTCAATGGAACATGGCGGATCGCCAGTCGTAGTTCGAATCCGATGTCGAATGCAAATGTTGAACAAGTGAAAAAGTTTGTTTTCACCTCAAAAAATAGAAAGGCTTGTAACGAAACCGGTGATCAATTGGAAATAATTATTCCAGAAGTTAGTAGAAAATTTTGCTATATATTTTACTATTTATATATTATACGACATTTTTGAGGTTATGTCGTTGTGTAATAATTGCATTAATGTACTATACATTGTTCTAGTTGCTGCAAGCTGGTTATTCTTTTTATACGTGGCCATCAGCTCCTATTTTAGCTTGGTTTTTGTGGGAAAGAAGAAACGAGTTAAAACTTAAAAACGTACTTGAAATCGGCTCTGGAACTGCATTACCAGGTAAGGTTAACGCGCTATAAATTAATGGAATCGATGCAAATAACATCATACACATTTAAATTCGCTTCTTTATATATACAATATATGTCCTCTGTCTCTAGGTGTGCATTTACTACTATTTTCTAATACCCCTTTACACACCACTTTAGTTCGGCGTCAAATAGATTTAGAGTTGTAATAGATTACAATTGAATCAGATTAAATTTAAATAGGACATTAATATATTCTCATATTGTCTAGGAATTGAATTGATAGATTTCTGATTACAATTAAATTTATAGTCTTCATATAAATGTTTTTCAAAATTTAATTTGCTAATGTTGTTCATGTTCATTCTTAGGAATTTTAGCGGCTAAGTGTGGCGCAAGAGTGACTCTAACAGATAGTAGTACTTTGCCAAAATCCCTCGCTCATTTACATCACTGTTGCGTACTGAATGGTCTCACACCTGATATTGATATTAAAGTAGAAGGTTTAACTTGGGGACTTTTCTTAAATTCCAATATTTTAAACCTTGGCCAAATAGATATCATTCTAGGTTCAGATTGTTTTTATGAACCAACAGTTTTTGAAGACATACTTGTTACAGTGTCATTTATTTTGTCAAATAATATTCATTCGAAATTTTTCTGCACTTATCAGGAAAGGAGTTCAGATTGGAGTATCGAAGCACTTTTAAAAAAGTGGGATCTGAAGTGCTCAGTTATTAACATTCATAGCGTGGGTGCTGAATCTGGTATTAGCATTCAAGAGTTGATGGGAGATCACTCCATACACTTGTTGGAAATTACACACATTTAATTATTTAGTTATTCATTGTAACGGCTTTCAAATGACTGTGTCCCAGGTTATACGTTCTGCAAACAAACTTTTTGTTGGCAACATTCCTTGGACGGTAAGTCATCGTGAATTGAAGAAACATTTTGCAGAATTTGGACACATTTCATCAGCAAGTGTCGTTTTTGATAAAGCTTCTGGCATTTCCAAAGGTTTTGGATTCGTTCAGTTTAGTGCCAAAGGTGGCATCCAGAACGCACTAAATAAACAAGTCCATAATTTAGAAGGAAATGTTTTAAATATTAAAGCCGTTTGAAATTAAAATTTACCATAAACTTTTGTATTAGTAGTTGATTAGAATAAGAAAATAAATTTATTCAATAATGGCTGAATGCATGGATGATCTATCTGATTTTGACACTGATCAGTGCTGCATTGATGATGAATTGGTTTCAAAATTCAATTCAGCTGCAAGTTTTTTACCTCAAATTGCATCTAATTTGGATTCATCAGTTTTGCTTCAATTATATGCATTTTATAAACAAGCCAGTATCGGCAGTTGTAATATTCCTAAACCTAGCTGGTTTCGAACACAAGACAAAATGAAGTGGGAAGCTTGGTCATCTTTGAAAGATATGCCAAAAGAAATTGCTATGGAAAAATATATTGCCACAATATCCAAGATTGATAGCACCTGGTTAAGTGAGTCAACATCACAAGAGAAGTCTAAAAGCTGGGCAGCAGTTTCAACTTTTACATTGCCAGATACAATCACAAATGAAACAGAAAAAACTATTTTTGATTACTGTAAAGAGGGCAATATTGCTCAATTTTCCTTGCTTCTCAAAAACACAGAAAGGAACATATTGGACACACAAGGTTTAGGTTTGATACATTGGGCTGCAGATAGAGGACATTTGGCAATTATTAAACTTTTATTAATGAATGGTCATGATATTAATTTAATTGATGGTGATGGTCAAACTGCTTTGCACTATGCAGTAAGCTGTGGACACAGAGATTGTGTTGAATATCTGTTAGAAATGGACATCGACTGTAATGTAAAAGATGATGATGGAACATTAGCTGTTGAACTTACTGATGATGATGAATTAAAGAAAATGTTACGCAAAGGTCATTATGATGAATAAAATGTAGCCTACGTTTTGAATAAATGTACAATTAGTATAAAGCCTTTTTATTTTCTAACTTTATTATCTATTGATTTTGCAAAATTCGATTTTTGAATTTTAATTTTGATCTTTAGGATAACATTTTATTAATTATTATTAATATTACTGATAATATGGGATTCAATTTAAAACCACCTGCATATGCACACTGTAAATGCCTTTTTTCTTATTAAGGTATCTATAATATTCTCTAAATAAGTTTTTTTTACAGATTATTTCTGTCATTTTATATTGATACAGAAATTATTATACCTATTGATTAAAATTAATTAATGACCTTAATAATTATAAAGTCAAGCTTCAATTTAAGTTCAACATAGAATATCTTAATATTTTTTGAAACAAATATGATAACGATAGATATTAATTATGATTATAAGCAGTCATTTTTGCAATGTGGAAAACAATTTCAGCTAATTAATAGTATACAGTGTAACATAGAAGAGATTCTACAAAAATAATTGGGTAAATAAATATTCAGCTAAAATTCATTTTTAATCATTCTAAAAATGAAGCATGTTTATGTATTTATTTTAATTTATGCATTTTGAAGTTATGACTAAGAATATTATATTTTTTTTTTAAATCGTCGGTAATTTGAATGAGTGACTATGAAAAGCATGCATAGTTCGATCGAAAATAAAAATTGTAGTACTAGTAGTAGTAGTAGTAGTAGTTCATAATGTTAAAAACTTCGTATGAAATTTGTAGTATAAATTCTCTACAACTAATTAAGCATTCAATTGACTATTGTTTTTAATTATAAACAAGTGGACATTTTCGCAGCGCATGCGCTACGCCAATATACGTATGGATGTGTCGAGTACTTTGTGAAATAGAGACAGTGCTATGAGCAAAGATGCAAAGAACAGAGAAAGTTCTAAACCACTCTAGAATCAATAATTCTGAAAACAGCAAAATTGCACATCTGACATTTGAAACTGTAATCATTTGAATAGTGTAATTGAGAAAATTTCATTAAACGACTTATAAAAATGTGATAAATTTTACCATACTATATGGCGCATTTGAACGGTCCCAACCGATGTAAAAGGTCTTAGATCCAAACGCATAATATTCATATCAAATGTTAGTGATACACGCATAATTATATAAAGCAAGTTGTGATTTGTAATTATAGCACCATTTAATTTAATTAAAAAAGAACACTATGTATTGCATTTTATAAAAATTCAGACGTGGAAAATGAATGTAAATAAAACGATTTGGATTTACTTTCCAATCGGTGAGTAAACTTGATATGTCCTTTGATTTACGGTACGAATTCAAAGCACTGGGGTGAATCTTATAAAATTCATATAATGTATTTTTCTTATAATTAAAATTACATTTCAGTTTTCCTGTTATTATTTCAATTTCAAATTTCTATGGCCTATTTATGTTTCCCTAGTAAGTCTGACCTGGTTTGCAAAAAATGTTTTTACTCTTTTTTTTATAATGCGTGTTCTCTTTAGTTGATGATAGTCGATGTTTTGATGATCTTTAACATTAATACTTGAATAACAACGCAAATCTAACAGAAGATCTACAATTTCAGTGTGTTTGGCGCTAACATATCTACCACTAACAAATGCAGAATGTCAAAGTAAGCAATTTCAATTATTTCCACTCTTTAATCGCTTTTGATAATAATATTTTTTCTGAGGTTTGTGACATAATTTCGCATTTTTATATAAATTGCATGCCGATTTAAAAAAAGCACCAATCAGAATTAATTTACTCCTGTTACTCGCTTGAGGAAGTTAAACTTATTTTTGTTCATTAATTATACCTTATTTATCTTTTATATAAAATTTAGTAACCACAGCTGTCTTCTATCATTAATATTTTTTTATTATATTTGTCATATTATGATCCGAAGCCGCATCATAAATATCTACTATAAATATAGGTCGTGCCTACTTCTCTACTACAAAAATATCTGATATTTATTAATAGGAACCCAGGGACATCATGAAATACTCATATTAAACAAAGTATTTATAATTTTATAAGGGCAATTTAAATTTTAAACTATCGATTCATTTTTTTTAAATTTCAAATCACATATCACTAAAACATAACACGTGTTTCTTTGTTTTCAAAGGTTTCTCATAACTTGCATTTCATATTTATCATGAACAACTGCTTAACCAGTTAACTGTGATGCACACTTAAATAAAATGCCACTTTGCATCAAAATATTCTGAACATCCTAGAATTTGAGAATTTTTCTTTACAAAAATTGCAATTTAATGGTCAAAACCTTGTATACCTGATGAGTATACACAAAATTATGCCACTTTTTCATGACGAGTATATTCGTCAACTACAGTTAACCATGGTTAATTTAATTTCGATTCATTATTATTTGTTCTATTTTTCTTAACTTTAAACTAAAAAGTAAGAAATACCGTTAAATTTTTGAGTTCATTTTGTCTCAAAGTTTTAGAGTCGAATTTTAAAATTAGGATTATTTATTATTTTCACAAAATCATCGAATTTATATTATTAACTAGCAATTAGTCTTTAGTGTTATTATATAGGAATAATGATTTTGATTTTCATATTGAAGAGTTTTTATTATATATTACCTTTTATAATTATTTTTAGATGGATGATAGAAATATTTATATTGTATTGTGCATGTTATTATATACATACCTGCAAGTTAGTGTTATCATGCTTAATTAATGTTCAATTTAGGCATGATTTGTGTAAATCCTTCCACGCAAATATGTTATTTTTACATTCCAACATAATTAGGGATTTTATTACTTCTGCATATTATTTTCTTATTTAAATATCAAATAAGTTTGATCTATTGCGTAGATTTTTTTAATTGTTTTTCCAACTCGTATTCATCTACCATTACTTTAAACTTTTAATAGTTTAGTTTAATGCAACCTTTTTGATTTTAAAACTTTTAAAAGTAACCTTTTTACTAAGGTTCTATCTATTTCATTTCATCTACAATAGACTTGGACTTTCAACGTTTTGCTTAAGGTATCCTCAAATATTTTGGATTTACCACTTAAGAAGGAAATAGTTTGATCACTTTATTTATCATAAACATCATAAAGTAATTAAAATCTATATTTAGCCCGATCTATTTACTGCTATGAGTGCGACAGTTGGACAGATCTTCGCTGCCGAGATCCTTTCAACTATACCGCTCTGCCGCGAGATCAGCCGCCGCTGATGACATGTAACGGCTGCTGCGTCAAAATGGTTCGGCACAGCAAGTCCCGTAAGTTGATATAATATCAAAACGGTATGTGTCGTGAATTAAATTCTGCTTCAAAGCTATACTTTGATGTAGACATTTGAAAAAGTCCTAAATAGAGTTTAACCACTGTAATGCTTACGGCCGTTCGCGCAAAACTGGCAAATTTGCATAGGAACAAACTCAGTTCATTCACAGGAATTTTTGAACTTATCGAAACTTGTTGGATGATCGAATCACCAAAAGAGATTTATAAAATTTTATAATATATACTAATGTAAAAATGTCAATAACTTCAGTACTTCAAATATAATTATACTCGTACATCAACACGTTTTTTGGGCCTCTGACTCGATTATTTCATTTGATATTATATATTAAACAATACTATATTTTTATATTGTTAATTTTATAGTAGTATTTACATTCTAAACGCATTGCAATAATAAAAAAATAATAAATTTTTAAAAAATGTGAGCATTAAAAGTGCTTAATCTATTACTGTTTGAGCTTAAACTTTATTCCCAAAAATTGCAGATTAGGATTGTAAAGTTAGTAAGCTCAAATAGTGACGAAGACAACCTAGCGGTTAACCACTTTTTTTGCTATTGCTATATGCTATATTATGGATACACGAAAGGCGATTTTTGCTTTAGATTATATTTGAGATCTATAACCTCAAATAGAAGTTTGATATCATAATACTTGATACCAAGCCTGACCGAGGTTGGGATTAATCCTAGGCTGGCTCGATTTATTATTGATCTAAACATAGATAAAAGAGATATAATAATATTATGCAATCACCAAGTAATTTTATATTAAAATCTAAGAATGTGATATCAAGATAAAAACTGTTAAATTATACATTTACCGATAGTTAGCAGGCTCATTTATTTCAAATGTATTGAAAAATTTATATGTTACAGTACTACATTAGTCGTTTGTTTATTTGTTTGCACATTTCATTGATTTTGACCTGTTTTGATATTTTTAAATTGATACTTAAAACTATAATTCTGCCAGTTTAAGATATTTAAATCCTTACTACGGCATTAATTTAATTAAGACAAAAACCATTTTTTCACGCTTTTTCTTTCTGGATGAATCTTGATATATTTTTAATGCTCTTATGTAATTAGTATTATAACTATTACATTGGAGGGATGCTAAGATTAAATTTTAAAAAAATCATTTATGCATTGCCCTACTTACATAAATTGCATTAAAGTGCAACTAAATAAATCATGATAAACTTCTTGTACAGAAGGTAATTTCGAATTATAATATAAAAGTTTCAGCGCTACTGTAATTAAAGGTAATTACTAAAGTTCTGTTTTAAACATTTTATTTTGTGTGTGGTTTATAATACTTTAGGTTTTGTTTTAAAATAAATTTCATAAATCACATTTCTGTTTAATTTGAAACTATCACTTAGATCTCTAAACATTCTATACATATAAAAAAAGTTTGATCACTTGTTAATTTGTAAACATATTTGGAAATTGTGTTGTAATAAATTATTTTATTATAGAGATGTTTAATTACGTTCTGGCTCGTTTTTCATATGTAAATAAATTACAGTCCAGACGATTTATTTGATAGACGAGATTTCTAAGTCGTTCCATATTAACACTTACGGGACGGCACCTATTTCAAAATAATCTACTGTACCGGCTGTAAACTTGATTTCATTGAGTATGTTATGCAATTTGTGTGATAAAAATTGGTGGTCATTGAAGGACACACATTTATAATATTAATTTATTTTTGATCATTTTATAAAGAATGGTGACGTTTAGAACAATTTCCAAAATGCATAGCTGGTTGATTTTGACATGTTTTACAATAAAATGTTGTTTGCCGCCTTCCTCCTGGTGCTTTTCAACAATACAATCTCTTTTTCTTTCTCTCGCATTTAGAATATGCCACTGATTAGTCAGTATATTTGTTCATTTTTGTGCTGCCGTAATGGTTTGATTTTTCTATTATATTGTCTCATAATTCATTTGTAACATATAAAGTAAAATAATCTATTGGATGTCTTATATTGCTTGGTATTTGTAGTCGAGGTGTTTGTTGATGTATGTCAAACTCGATTATTGAAGGAGATTCGGCACAATCGCTAATGTCTTTCTACTCTTCTTCGAATTGCCAAACTTCTTCTTTTTGTTGGTAGGATGATACCATCATCACATTCATCACTATCTTCGGTGCGAATAGTAATTTCGTAAAATTTGTCTGTATGAATGTCTATTTGAATCTCATCTTCACTACTGCTTAATTCACAAAATTTACCAATCGCTTTGCCATATTTAAAAGCGCTCGGTCGTTTTATATATTAAAAAAAAGACTATATAGCAAAGAAAAAGGCTGAAAATACTACTAAAATAACTTAAAATTATTTTCAAAATACATCACTGTTTATCACTGCTATATGTAATTTATTCAACTTTTTTATGCAAATTGAGTCATTGTTTATAAAATAGCCTGTGCCTCACAGAGCATGTTTGTCCACTTAGGTGGACAGCCGTCCCCAAAGTGTTAAAAGGGGTTTTTGTTTTGGAGAAAATAGTACCTACTAGTCGTTGTAATCAAAACGTTTTGTCCGATAGAAGTATTGAGTGATGGTCAGTCAGATTTATTATAGTACCTATTTTCATTTTGAGTGGATGATCGTATCATCCACTAGCTAGGATTATAGTCGAAAGAAATTCATGTTTTTATTGATGTTATGCCCGATTACTAGACTTTGTTTATACATATGTCAACAACAAATTTAAGTTATCTTTATATAAGTTTAATATACTTATATTAAAGATATTGATAACACTAATTTACTCCATGGTAGAAAAATGTCATCACAAACGACATAAAGAATACTGAATAAAATTTGATTTTACCGAGATATTATCCGAAACGTATGGATAACTAATAAATTCTTGATATATATATATATATATATATATATATATCTATATATATATATCTATATATATATATATAAAATATTTTCCGAATTGTCAGTTGTTTTTCGAATTTTCCAGCGTACGAGGTGGTCCGGCGCACGTGCACGTCGCAGCTCCAGATAAACCTGTTCATGGTGGACCACGTGTGCATGATGGAAAGTTCAGGATCGGGCCACATGTGTTTCTGTGAGGAGGACATGTGCAATAGCTCGCGCTCACTGTTCAGCTCATCTTCCGATCCTTTAAAGTGGCTTTTAATATCCTTATCCCATGTGACGTTAGGGCTTGTGTGCTTAGCTTACAGGTAGACTTGTAGTTTAGATACAGTTTCTAGTTTGTCTTTATCTTATTTTTAAAACTGATGTCCCGAATCACACACAAAGATAATCTTTGTCTTTACAAGGTTATGGACGACATTTGTACGTATCCAATGATTGAAAGCAATCAAATATCGTTTACTACTATGGTAATTATTGAATTAGAACTTGAAATTACAGATATTATATTTCTTGTCTGAATGTATATACATAATATATGATTTACAACCTTTGATATAGCCAAAAAGCATCGACTTTAAGTAGATTTATTCCCACACTTGTGGAATAATTGATTTGGATATGTGGTGTGAACAATTTTATCCTAGATAAAGTGGTCACTAAAGCAATTGTAAAGACAAAGAGTTCTTTTTTGTGTGCCCAGGGTATAATATAGAAATCAAACGATATAAATAATTCAAATTGTTTCTGAATTTAATTCTTGTGGTCTGCAAAGTGTTACCGTTCTCATCAATCAGATCGGACAACAAATTCGTGTGGGTTAGATATCATGGAGCGCTGATTCCTCACATCAATTTTTTGTTCGATCCGATTGATTAGTTCGTTGATAGTTTGTGGAAAAACATTACAAATTCGCGAGCAAGCCTTGATTATTTATTGAATTTGATATCTTCGTAAGTTTATAGTTTCATCATTTAGATAACACTCTCTCTATAACTAACATTGGATGCTGTAGTGAGTTTTTTTCTAAATTAGAGTATTTTAGTACATCATTATCATTTACTAACATCATTGGATCTTAGCATCTACATGAAGTTAAATAGTTTTTACTGTTTATGCATCAAATAATAATTTCATGGACAAAATTTAACATATAATTGGCGTTATTTGTACATCGACAAGTTCTGATTGGATGTTGTGGTTTTATCTTAATATTTTGACGTACCTTTTGAAATTGAATAGATAAATTTGTATATATTTATTGACGAAAACGTTTTTATAGTATTTACATAGCATTGTTAAATGAATTTTTACGTCTAATTTTGCAAAATTTCACATTATTTGATACGAGTTTGCTTATTAGCGCAAATTGACTCGTTTTGCAAGAGGTCGTAATGCTAGGTAATAAAATATGATAAATTCGAATATTATATTTAAGGACGGTATAACGAAGCGATTGTTCTAAATTTATTAGGATCGAATTTTATTTCTATACTCAATTATGCATAAGGTATATACACGTATACAGTTTAATGTATGAAACAATTATTTAAATATAAAAGGCGTCGAAACGCGATGATAATTGCCACATATAAATAATGCTCCAAGATGCTCAATAATTTTATTAACTAATATCACAATTATAAATAGGTATAGATTGTTTTAAAATTTAACTTAAAAGGGCACGAGCTTATCCACCATTAGCAAATTATGCAGAAATCATATTTAAATGACAGTGTTAAATGTGTACCTGACCCTTTTATTTTACTATTTTGTATATACATTTAATATTCAAATTATCAATATAATCGACTTAAATTTTTCGATATGATACACCAAACCTTTTCTTACAACATTAATTTAAAAATATCAATATTTGTTGCGTAGCGACATGCTCATAACTATTTAATAATAATAATTAAATATTACATTTTAATTTAGTTTCGCAAAACATAATATGTCCATAAAATGACCTAAAAGTTTTCTGTATTGAAATAACTACAACAAGTCAATGCTTCAACAACTATGATTAAATAACAATAAAATAACAATAACTATATTTCGTTAAATTATTTATTTTTGTTATATTTTTATAAAAAAATGTTTTATATAAAAAAAACTATTAAACGTTATTAGCGACGCAAAGATTATTTTAAAATGAAATATATGAACTTATTGTGAAAATAGTTTAACTGCAATACTACATAAATATTATTTAAAATGAATTAAACTTTTGATACTTTGTAAATCTTTGCATCGCTAATTTCAGTATTTGATAATCATTTGTTAATTCTTCGAAATTATATATTTATAGTTAATCAGAAATATGCTGTAAGTCACAATCTAGCAATATATTTTTTAAAAATTTAATTAAACAAGATATAGTGACTTACAGCAATATCTTTCATGTGGCCAGTAGTTTTAGTATAGGTATTTGCCATATTCGATTATTTAATTCAAACATCAAGCGCATTTTGAACAAAAATTGGATATATTTTTCAAAATTACCAGATAATTTGATTTATAAATGCGCTTGATAGGAAGTAATGTGTAAAATTTTCCAAGGCTGTGTTCTCCATTAATTCTAATCATATAATATCATATTTTAATCTAAATTATGTCGCAATGTTAATTGTTATAATTATAAAGTTTTTTACTCTAATTAAGAATTTTATTGAATACATTTATGATATTTTTTTCGTAACATAGTTTTTGATACTGTAATTCACAAATTCAATGAAGATATCGTACATTTAATTCATTAGGTAGAACTTAATCAAGGTAAGATTTTGGGTAAGGAAGTTTTTTTTAAGTGTATTTTATATGCCCTTTGATGTTGAAGTCTATGTGCTATCGGATGTTTCTTTGCGATAATAAATGTTAATTTGCGTTCTTAAAAAATGATGAGAATTTATGTAAAACACGAATTGGAAAATTTGCATGCAGCTTTATATGTATTTATTTTATATGTACACATATATGTATATATATATTTATATATATATATATATATATATATATATATATTCGTATTGATATTACTTTTAGGTCATTTATGTTTGTTCGACTCTAAATAAGCATGCGTTAATCCACAAATTATCAATTGCAATTTTAATTGGGCTCATGTTATTAGTTATTAGTTGAATGCACACATTTTTTTTAATATCATTTCTGTACTTAGTATTTTCAACATATTTACTCATGATAAAAAGCAATACTTCAAAAACTAAAAAGATTTATAATTTTTAAAGAAGTGGTTCGATTATCATGTTTCAAAGATAAAGTTTTCAATTTTTTTCATATCACGAAAACTAATTAATTGCCAGAAATAATTAGTCATTCGAAATACCGTATCGTAGTTTGCAGTACTTTGGTAATTTAATATTTCTGCTATAAAACCTATAAAATAATGTTCTAATCAATAATTCTTCAAATAATGATATTGCTCGATAATTTAGAATTCATCGTTTGTTCTGAAAATATTATTCCAATAAATCTAAAAATTAAAATGTTTTGCGTAGATTAATAGCGGTTGTAAAGAATACACCTATAAGTCCGTCAATTATTTTTTATACAGTTTTTTAATCTATTACCCAATTAAATGTAAAAACTGTAAATTATACTAAAAACCATCAATAATTGTTTCATATGTTATCATCATTTACGTCTTCGTCGCACGTAAACATATTTTAGTTTTCGCAGGGTCAAAATATAATAATTTCGTCTGAAAATTATTATTATAAACAACATATTGTTGTATATTCATAATGTTAGATATAAAACCATATTTAACAGAATAAAATTAGAAAGATTGGATTATTAGTTTATTAGTAAGCGACCGAGAATATATTTACACGCGTCGGAGGTGTAGCTGAAATTTGCACATATAAATAGTTGAAAATATAAATTTAATCTGACAACATAAATACACATACATATCTTGCCATTAACCACAATTTGCCAGAGTAATATATATTTAATAAATATTTCAAAAATAACTTAAAGTCCTCGATAACATGCTTCTTGTGCATGAAAATTGAAACATAATTTTCTTTAATAGAATAACGCTTCTCAATGTGATTCATTCTAGTGACTCTTTGAAATATTAGGAATTACTAAAAATAATAACGTGAATTGATAAATACTATCAATTCATGTTTAGGTACCTGCGTGAAACGTTATAAAGTAGATTGTTGCGTATATTTACAACTATAACATTTTATTAATATGCATGTTGACCTTGTATTGATATTTCGAAATGCATGAAAGCTTGCATCGGCATGCAATTATTTTTATTTATATTTGATTCCCAAATGTGTTTCATACCGCTTACCCGACGGTTCCGTAAAATCATAACATTTGAACTAATTTCATTAGTTCAGGCTGAATTTCAGAGAGCTCGCACTGTCCCTCAACACAAGCCGACGGCATTTTGAAAATATTGAAAGTATTTTCAATTTGTCAAATGATAAAATGAAGGTCTAAATGACCTTAGATGAGACTCGGAAGCGCACGTGGCGAATGCGCTTCGTGTGGCCCTCTTGAACATTTCACATAGCACTGCAATTAATGAAACAGATCTTAATCCCTATTAACACCCATAAATTAACATCGTTTTTTGTAATAACAATTTATATTTTTGATAATTATCACAAAATATATTATATTAAATTGTTTTGCTATAATTAAAATTAGAACTTTGCATTGCATGCAGTATTATATGCAATTGTACGTTAATAAAATTTAAGATCTGTTAACTATTTTTGCATACTTAAATATGTCTTATACTTAGATATTAAAAATCGTCTGCAGTGATAAATGCTCTGTTATCCAAATTACAAAACTAAATTTTAAATATTATTGTATGTTTTTAAATACAAAGTTTACAAATATTTATATATTCATGACTAAAAATATCATGGATCATACTGTACCAATTTCGCCAAAACACTTTTTGTTTAAAGTATCGCTAAAAAGCTTTTCTCAGCAATCAAGATAGAAATATTTTTGACATATTCTTTTACATAGATTACTATATCTAGCTTACCATAAAATATTTTTTCATGACACACAATTTGCCTTATTTTTATTAAATTCAAAGTACAAATATTATTGTACGTTAATCTATTAAATTCACTTCTAAAGCACCTTTTATATATTCTTTTTACATATTTATTCTATTGTAAATATTGTATAAATTATGATAGTTTTGTTGATTTTAAAAAATTGCTTCCATAAATTTGAAATATGTTGAGTAGATAAATAATTTAAAATTATTCAAAAAGCGTATTTGTATTAGATAGTTTCAGAAAATTTCAATTGTTATATTAAGTAGAATAATTATTTTAGAAATTAGATAGAAAGCGAAC